CTGGCTCTCCCTAGTCCCTAGCCCTAACCCTAACCTGGAGAGCCTTTGGGGCCCAAACTGGTTGCGTCACTCCTGGTTGAAAACCCTCTGGAAGCTTCCCATACTTACAGACATCACTGCAAGTCTCTTAGCAGGGCCTACAGAGTCCACACCAGCCCACACCCACCGGCCCCTCGCCCCACGGAAGCCTCATGTGGACTGTTCACTTCAGCTAGAAATGCTCCTTCTCCTCCTGCCTGTCCCCAGCAGGCGCCACACGGTGCCCTCTTCACGGGCACATCTGTGACCGCCCAGCATCCATGTTCCCCCCCGGGCAGAGGCTGGGCCTGTCTCACGGCCACAGCCCAGCTCCTAGCAGTGCCTGGGGTACAGCAGGGGCTCAGCAGACATCTGTGCATGGTTTGGGGACGGAGGACTCGTGGGCTTACCAGGGCCCCGCTGCAGCTCAAGGACACCCAGCAGTTCCTCCTGTGGCCCTGGTGGCCTGCAGTCCCAGGTTACTGTGACATCGACATCAGCCTTGAGCTTTCTGCTTCATCCCTAGTGCTTTTTAGCACCTTACATGGTAAGTACTTGGCTCAATGATTCCAGAAAAATGTTCTCTGATTCCTGCTATGTGCCCAACATGCTTGAAGATGCTGGAGATGAGGAGCGTGACGTTCCTGCAGTAACGAGGTTGCTGGCAATGCCGTCAACGTGCCCCGTGCCTCGGGGGAGGCCTTGTGTGGAGGACACGCTTGCCACCCTGTGAGGTCAGGTCCAGGGAGTCCTTGCAGAGGCCAGGAAAGGGCAAGGCTGTCACCTCCTTTTACAGGGGAGGAGGCAGAGGCTCGGAGAGGCCAGGTAGCTTGTCCAAGGCTGAACACCTGGGTGGTGGCTGAGGGTCTCCGGCTTCTGGAAGCTTGCAGTACAGCTGGACACACGGTAGTTAGCCCACCATCACTGGAGCCATCTTCCCTGTGCTCTGCTAACCAGGTGGGGCCCCAAAAGGCGATGCCTTTGTCTGTGCTGGGAGGAGGCTCTGTGGGGCCCAGTCACCAGCAGCCCAGAGCAAGGGCACATCTGCCAGGGCGAGGCTGCACCTTCAGCCTCACGTCAGCCCTGGGAAGGCCTAGACAGTGGACAGTGCTGTCTTGCTGCACACCCCTGATGAGCGGTGTGGTTAGGGTGGGGCTCAGAGGTGAGTAGAACACGGGTAGGGGGTGGCAGCGTGGTGGGCATCTGTCTGCGGACCCTATGTTGTATGCCTGGCAGGCCTTGTACATGGACGCGAGTGGGCCTGAGGCTCCCTCCACGCTGCCCACCGTGGCCCTGGGGGGGTCTGGCCTTCCCCCACAGAGGTGACTTCCTCTCCTCCATGAGGGTAAGAAGAGGAGGCCTGGCCCACCCTCTGGCCAGCCTGGTGGCATGCAGACAGGGACCCGTTTACTGCAGGGGTCTGACGAACAAATGCCACAGAATAGACTCTAAGGACCCTGCCTCCAGATCCGCTTCCTCTCCCCATTCCGGCTTCCCAGCCCTATTCCCTCCTCCTCCAGGAAGTGTTGCGTGTCAGTTCTTTCCACCTTGGAGGCCTTCGTATGTTTTCTTGCCTGGACCACCCAGCCAACCTGTCTCACAGACTTCCTCTTCCTCTCTCCAGGCCAAGCCTCCAGCTTCAGTGTCCAGGACCAAGGGTCTGTGTCAGGGGCGGAGGACGGCATCCAGCGGGGAGCAGGCCTGCCCAGTAAACCTCCACAAGCACCCAGACATACTTGCCACTGCTATTTCACACCAGGTAGGAAAGAGGGGCAGAGGCTCATGGCGAGGGGCCGTCCTGCGTTCACTGAGACCGCTGCTCTGCCGGGGGCTCCCAGGAGGACCGCCACTGGCCCGCCGGTTGTGAGCGAACAGCCAGGTCCACTCGGCAGCCTCCGGCATTTCAGGCCCCCTATCATAGGAGGCTATAAGCACAGGCTAGGGGCGCTGAGTGCCTGCCTCCTAGACCAGCACTGTCCAGTGGAAACATGACACCAGCCCCATATGGAGTTTTACATTTCCTAGCAGCCATGTCAAAAAAAAAAAAAAGGGGAAATAAAATTTAATAGTATTTTAATGTAATCTGATACATCCAAGATATTCTCATTTTAATGTGCAATAAAAAATGATCGATTCGATATTTGCATCCTTCACAACCCACCATGTAGTTTACACTTAGAGCCTAGCTCGGTCTCACAGCAAGCACCAGCGGCCCCCATGCCGGACAGCACAGCTAATGGGAGGAGCTGACCTGGCGGAGGCACCAAGGACACACCGTGCCCAAGGCTGTGATGACACAAAGGCAGCAGGTTTCCTGGCACAGCCTGGACGTACACGAGCCTGTCCTGTGTGCTCTGCATCACGCCGTACAGCAGTGGCCACAGAGCTTTGCACCAGGTGCTGATTCCAGCCCACCTAGGGGGGTTCAGGGAGGTGGTGACGTTTGTGTCCAGCCTCCAAGTGTGAGCAGGGGCAGAGACTGGGAGAATGGAGAAACCAGCGGATGCTGCAGGCAAAGGCAACAAAGCCCCACCAGGAATAGTGATGGCCACCACGGGCGGGACACCTCCCAGCACTGGGTGGAGGCCTCTGCTGGCTCGCAGCCAGTCACCTGATGTCCCCATTCGCCCCTGCCATGCTTGTCGTCCTGGCAACCCCGTTTCAGCCCTGAAACGTTTAGGTGCTCATCTTGCTCTATCTTAGAGATGAAGACTTGATGCTCAGAGACTAAGGAAGTTGAAAAAGGGCACACAGCATCTCAGGGGCAGGCTGGACCTTCAACAAAAGAGCCTATGGCCCAGAGGCTGGATGGGCTCAGGTGCAGGGTGCAGGAACCCTCCACTCCACATCAGGCTACAAACTGCTGCTAGCTGTCTCCATCACTCAGGATTAGGGAGGCGGGGGGAAGAAGGGCAGCGGGCCCCCTGCAGGTGATGTGGTGATTCACACCCCTAGGAGCCAACAGAAGCTGCTTTCTACCATCCCTGCCCTGGGGTCCAGAGAAACCTTGCATTTTATGCCTACGGCAGAATTGGTTTCTGCAGCTATGGTCTCTCCCATAGCTTAGTGCCCACCTGGGTGGGACCACAGGGTTTTGGAGGACCCTAGAAGGTCGAGCCCTGGGCTCCTGGTTCTTGGGTTCTTTGAACTCGTGAGCGGAAGGGGTGAGCCTGACGCCTGAGAGGCAGCACCCACCTCTGCATCCCCCTCTTTGTGAAGGGCAAACAATGATACCTCCCTCCGCGGAGGGTGCAGAGCGCCTCGACCACCGGGAAGCAGCAGATGGGGGCAGCGGGGCTGGGGCTGGGCCTTACCACGTGCTCCCTAACGCTGTTCAAACAGGTCAGGAATCTGACTCCTGAAAGGCAAATGTTAGCTGAGCAGAGTGGCCCTAGTGCCACGTCAGCCAGACTGAAGCTCTCCCTGCACCGCCTGGGGCTCTGCTGGCGTGGCACGGGTACCACCCCCTCCTTCACCAGCCTCTGGCCCAGCTGGGGACAAGGGTGGCTCCCACCCAGGGAGGACCTCAGCCGCTGCTGGGAGCTCAGCCTCCGGCGATGCCATCGGGTGGGCACCCCCACCACGGCCCCTGCCCTCTGGAAGGAGCAGCAGAGGAAGGCCGCGGCTCTTCCCTGCCCTCGCCAGGCAGATGTGCAGGTGAGTGGGTCGGGCATGGCTGGCCTCTTCCTCACCCGCTCAGCCTCCCTCGGCTCCTCCGGAAAACCAGGGCACAGATGATAGCGCCCACCTGTTCCCTGCGATCTTCCGCAGGAGGGCGTGAATGCTGCCTGGCCTGGTCTCGGCAGGGGCAGGAGCGCCTACCAGCCTCACCCCGCCGCTGGGTCCCTCTGGCCGCCCAAGCGCCCAGGCCCACTCGCCACCGACGTGCACTCAGCCAGGGCTGGGACCCCCACGCCCCTGTGGGGCTGGCGGCCGAGGGGACGAACCAAAAAGGCCGTTTCTCCCCGGGAGGACAGCGGGGCCGGGGCCAGGGTGGGTCTGGGAGGGCCCAGCGCAGCAAAAGCGCAGGGCGGAGCTCGGGGACGAGAATCCGGAGCGTCCCCCTTGCGAGTCGGCGGAGACCCGGCTCCGCGCGGTGGCCGGGCCGTCCCTCCCTGCCCGGGCCTCTGTGCAGAGCGAAGGGCCAGGAGAAGATGCGTCGGGGAAACCCCAGGACGCTGGACAGGGACTGGCGGTAGCCAACCACCAACTTCCGGCGCCGCTCCCGGCCCGCGGCCGCGCCGTAGCCAGGCAACCAGCGCGCAGGCGCAGTCGGCCCTCCGCGGCCCGCAACCCCGGCCGACCCGGGCGCATGCGCGACCGCCGCCGCCTGCCCTCCAGCCTGCCAGCCCAACGGAAGAATGCGAGCAGCACGCCGGCGTCAGGGCCCCGCGCTTCTCGGCTCGGCGGAGTAGCCGTTCTCGGTGCGTGAGCCTGCTGGCATCGGTCCTGCAGACTGATTTCCCCCTTGTGGCCTTGATTGAAGAATCCCATCTCTTCTCACATCTTAAAACGAAAACAGACTGGGAGAAAGCCAGCGTAACCAGGGCGACGTCCGGGGGCGACCCCGGCGCGCCCAGCCGGGCAGGTGGCAAGGGGCGGGGCTAAGCGGTGAGGCGGCGGACGGACGCCGGCGGGGGGCGGGGCCACGGGCGGGGAAGGACGGCCGAGGGGCGGGGCCAAAGGGGAGGGAACGACAGGATGAGGCGGAGAAAGGCGGACGACGGGCGGGGCCAAGGGGGCGGGACAAAAGAATGAAGCGAGGAAAGACGGAAGAGGGGCGGGGCCAAGGGGGACGGGAACGACAGGATCAGGCGTGGGAAAGACGGGCGGGGGGCGGGACGAAAGAATGAGGCGGGGAGGACGGACGCCGGCGAGGGGCGGGGCCGAGGGATGGGCCGTGAGGGGTTCAATAAGAACGCGTCTGGGCCGACGAGACCAGGGGCGGGGCCAGGGGCGGGGCGCGCGCTGATGTCGCAAGCCGGACACGTCGGCGGCGCGGCGGCCGCGGAGACCGGAGCCGGATGTGCCAAGATGGCTGCGGCGGCTGCTGTGTCTGCGCTCGTCGCCAGCGCCGGGTGGGATTTCGCCCGCGGCTCCTGAGGGATCGGTCTCAGCCGCGCGGGTAGGGGGGCGAGCGCGGGAGGAGGAAGGCGGTGGCCGGCCGGCGGAGCCAGGCCGTGGAGGCCGGGGCGCGGAGGAAAGGAGGCGGCTGGGCCCAGCCCCGAGCGGGCGGCGCAGCTCGGGTCCCGCCGGGGCCGGGCGAGGGGACAGACGTCCGGGCCAGAGCGGGAGGCCGGGCGCGGCGCGGGCCGCGGTGGGATTCGAGGGACTGGCGTGGACCTGGCTGGGCTGCGGTGACGCCGGTTCCCGGGGCGGGAGGCTGGACCCCCAGGCACCCCTCGTAAGACTCTAACTTTTAAAATGAGCGTGTCTTGTCCTCACTGGCTGGAAGGCTTCCTTAGCGATGCTGGTGAAGAGAGACATTTACATTTGAACCAAAGAGTAGAGTTGTTTGTTTGTAATTTCTTGATAGGGCGATCAGGGTGTTGCAACAGAGGCCGAGGGTTAGAAGAGTGTGAGTGATCCGGCTCGCCCCTTTGTGATGAAGTGTTACAGTAGAGTCTTCAGAAACATCAGAGCCATTTAAAGTCAGTTTTCGCCGCTTAAGAACACTTTTAAATGACTTGTAAGTTGGATGTGGATTGTATATTAAGATTTTGTTTTACATGTATGATGCCGATGTTAACCAAAGAGGTATTTCCCATCCCCCATGTGACAATACGAAGCAAACAAAACCGTAGACAGTTCTTCCTAGAGTGATACTTTTGCAAGTTTCAGCACAATACAGCCTCCCTGCGTTTTTTCGCCACGCCCTTTCTTAGGGTTCCGGTGCTAGTATCTTGTAGACAAGAGGCAAAATAGCGTTTCTTTCTTATTCCTTGTTCCTCGTTTACTCTTAATAGTGGTTACTACAGTGAGTCTCAAAATTGTACTGAAAGTTTTCTTTGAGGCAGTGGGCACATTTGTTTTTTTCTTTTTTCCTTCTTTTTATTTTATTTTTCTTTTTCTGCCAAACCCAGCAAGAGGCCATGGTAGTGGGTAAATGTTAATGTGATTTCTTCTTCTGTAAGCATCTTTCATGAATACCAGGCTGTCCTTTTGGGTCTTCGTCATTTTCAGCAGTGTTAGGCTGCTGGCCTCCTCTGTCGCTGGCTTCCTTTTCAACATCTAACTGTATGTGGTTGCGATTCTAACTTAGAAGAGTTGGAGTTGAATCATGTCTTTGTGTCAAGCGTCCCATAGTCTGACAGGGCGTCACTAGCAGCCACCGTGAGGGAGACTGTAGGCAGCAGGTAAGGTCAGGGGCTTCCTGGCACACTATTGTTTTCCTCACTTAAAATGTGAAGCCAGGCTGGGCTTTGGGAGGCCGAGATGGGTGGATCACGAGGTCAGGAGATCGAGACCATCCTGGCTAACACGGTGAAACCCCGTCTCTACTAAAAAATACAAAAAAATAGCCGGGTGAGGTGGCGGGCGCCTGTAGTCCCAGCTACTTGGGAGGCTGAGGCAGGACAATGGCGTGAACCTGGGAAGCGGAGCTTGCAGTGAGCTGAGATCCGGCCACTGCACCCCAGCCTGGGTGACAGAGCAAGACTCCGTCTCAAAAAAAAAAAATGTGAAGCCAGTGGCAGCAAGAGGAGAGGGGTGTGCATGCGTTTTAAATACCTCAGTTCTGTAGCCAGAACTATACTAAAAAGAGTTTTGCTTAGGTATCCGCATGTCCACATGGTTACAAGGTAGTTTAACTGACTAGCTAGTTTATGAATACTACAGCTTCAAGATCAGCTGGTCTCTTTGAAACAGTAGAAGAGTTAGATGACTTGAGGTTACAGAATAAAATTCCCTGTAGTGGTGACATAGGTGATAGGCAGTTGCATTGTTTTTCTCCCGGTGAGTAGAGAAAAAGATCAAAAAAATCAGTTCAAGTCACAGGATTGTTCCAAATGAAGCTAGCATGTTGCTAAAAAGCTCTCAATTAGGGAGCATGAGGGTTGGAATGCTCCTTGTAAGTGATAGTGTTTGCTATAAAAAAAGTTCTTAGTCTAGGAGAGCTACAGAATTTTTTTTTTGAGAAGGAGTCTCGCTCTGTCGCCCAGGCTGGAGTGCAGTGGCCGGATCTCAGCTCACTGCAAGCTCTGCCTCCCAGGTTCACGCCATTCTCCTACCTCAGCCTCCCGAGTAGCTGGGACTACAGGCACTCGCCACCACGCCTGGCTAATTTTTTGTATTTTTTAGTAGAGACGGGGTTTCACCATGTTAGCCAGGATGGTCTCGATCTCCTGACCTCGTGATCTGCCTGCCTCGGCCTCCCAAAGTGCTGGGATTAAGGCGTGAGCCACCGCGCCTGGCCACGCCTGTTAAACAGCAGTTGGGATTAGGACATCCCAGAATCCACTGTGAGTAGAATCTCGTAAGATTAAACCCAGGGTTTTCAGGAAAAAATAATCACATCGATTCTCTCATTTTATAGACAAAAATACATTGCAGAAAGAGAAGTGGCCGCCCCGAGCCACTCACCTGGACGCTCAGTTTTGCTCTTACAGCAGCAGCCGAGGAATAAACCTCTAGGCCCATGTTCTGTGTTTAAAGCAAACAAAAGCTATTGAGGACGGTAAGGATCTTCCCAGGGGAAGGCCGTGTCTTGAGAAATGAGGTAGGACTTCTGTTCTCCTGGCAGTGGAGTTTCAGGAGGGGCTTGGAAGTTTGCGTGTTCTGGCCATGGTTGCAGGTGTCACTGTGTCTGCTGTGGCAGCTGGTAGGACCAAATGGAAGATAATGCCAGTGCACAGATCGGAGGGAGATGCTCTGCCCGTTCTTTCAGTCCATGTAAAATAGAGCTGTGAACATTCTTTGTTTTCAGATGAGAGCCTACAACCTCAATGAAGCCTTTGCTACTGTTCCTAATAGTAGAGTTCCGTTAGAGTCAAGTGGATTTCAAGGTGCCTGTCAGTTGGAAAGCGTCCCCCGTTGGCAGAGCAAAGAGCGTGTGTGGGCAGTGACAGTGTTGACGCAGTAGGTTGACAGGACTAGTTTTTAGGTCAGCATAGGAACTTTAATTTGTAAATAACTTTACTTAAAATACATTGATCGGTGTTGTCTTCTTTTTGAGACAGTCGCACTCTGTTGCCCATGCTGGAGTGTTGTGACTTGAACAAGGCTCACTGCAGCCTCAACCTCCCTGGCTCAAATGATCCTCCCGCCTCAGCCTCCCGAGTAGTTGGGACTACAGGCACTCCCCACCACGACCGGCTTTTTTTTTTTTTTTTTAATGAAGATGGGGTATTGCTGTGTTGCCCAGGCTGGTCTCAAACTGCTGGACTCAAGTGATCCTCCTGCCTCCAGAAGTGCTGGGCTTACAGGTGTGAGCCACTGCACCTGGCCAATGTTTTCTTCTTTTATCGGAATATCAGAAAGATTTCCAACGATGAAAACAATATGCATCTGCAGAAATGGGTGGATTGGCCAGGCGCGGTGGCTCACGCCTGTAGTCCCAGCACTTTGGGAGGCCAAGGCAGGCAGATCACAAGGTCAGGAGATCGAGACCATCCTGCTAACACGGTGAAACCCCGTCTCTACTGAAAATACAAAAAATTAGCCAGGCATGGTGGCAGGTGCCTGTAGTCCCAGCTGCTCAGGAGGCTGAGGCAGGACAATGGCGTGAACCCGGGAGGCGGAGCTTGCAGTGAGCCGAGGTCGCGCCACTGCACTCCAGCCTGGGCGACAGACCGAGTCTCCCTCTCAAAAAAAAAAAATAAAAAGTGTGGATTAAACTCCAGAGTCCTCCCCTTTGGTTTAGTTTTTCCTTTGATTGGCTAAACTTATCTGTTTGTTCATGAGGGTGGTGCTGAGAAGAAGAAAGATTGATAGAAAGAAATGAACTTTCCTAAAGATATAGCACTTGAATTTTTGCCTTAAGAGACCAGGTTAACTGTTCAAGTTTGTATCTGGTGTATTTTATTTAAAAACTGATGGAGGTTTTTGCCCCTTTGTTTTCTATAAGAGGTTTCTTGGCAATTCTGCCTCATATTGAAAATTTTGGAATTTAGTCTGTCCCTTGTAAAGCTGCTTTAAATTTCCTGGGCGTTTCCATTCCAGGCATAGTTACAGCTCCAGTTCAAAGGTCACGTTGTCTTGCTGGTGGTCCTTTCAGACCTCAAGCCAGTCACAGTACAAAAAATGAGACCTGTGAAGAGGTGTGATAAAAGGCATTTAGATGAATGTATTTACTTTGCAGCTTTTTAAAAAAATGATTGTGTCATGTTTTATTTATTTATTTTTTTAAACAGAGGCCGTCTTGCTCTGTTGCCCAGGCTGGACTGCGGTAGTACAATCATAGCTCACTGCAGCCTTGAACTCATGGACACAAGTGATCTTCCCTCCTTAACCCCCTGAGTCCCTGGGACTGCAGGTGTGTGTCACCATGTCTGGCTCACTTTCTTCTTTTGTAGAGACAGGGTCTTGCTATGTTGCCCAGGCTGGTCTCGACCTCCTGGGCTCTAGCAGTCCTTCCACCTTGACCTCCCAAAGTGCTGGGATTACAGGCATGAGCCACTGCACCCAGCCTATTTTGCAGCTTTCATAACTATACTTCATAATACTCTTTCATCAAAGAAAATAGAAGAATGAATTGTAAACTTTTGTATCCTTTTTGAAATTTAAAATTAACATGTATACAAGGTATGATATAAATTTTTTTTTTTTTTTTTTTTTTTGAGCTAGGGACTCACTGTGTCACCCAGGCTGAAGGGCAGTGGTGCTGTCATAGCTCACGACAGCCTCGACCTCCCAGGCTCACGCAATCCTCCTGCCTCAGCCTCCTGAGTAGTTGGGACTACAGGTGTGCACCACCACACCTGGCTGATTTTTGTGTTTTTTGTAGAAACAAGATCCCACTGTTGCTCAGGCTGGTCTCGAATTCCTGGGCTCAAGTGGTCCTCCTGCCTTGGCCTTTGAAAGTGTTGGGAGTACAGGCATAAGCCACCACATCTGGCCAGTTTTTCTTTCTTAATAGAAGAGTTGGCTCTTCCTCCTGGATCTAGGGATGGTTTGCAGGAAAATGTTGAGTATATGTGGGTCTGGTAGCGTATCACACTGGTGTCCAGGTTCTGCACCATCCCTGCTGTTGTGGCGGAGGGCCGCGGCAGTGATGGGCCTTGTGAGTAGAGGATCCCAGAGGAGGGAGTGGCCATCTAGACATACTCCATCAGCTCGCGGCCAGGCCATCCAGGGCACGTACTCTGTCCACTGCCCCCCAGAGCAGCTCCTCAGGGACAGGTGTTCTCTGCTGGGGTGGGGTGTAGGGGAGAGAGAGTCCTCGGGATTTAAGTGACGTGAAATCATGTTCAGTGTTCCTCTTTTTCCTTAGTTTTCCTGATTGCAGCTAGGACTTTGAATATATGGATTTTATGCTGATTGTCTCTTTTTCTTTTTCAGCCCCAATTAAGGAAAAGCTGTATTCTGCTTCCTTCTGTAAGCAGCATCGACTTGTGCAAGAGTTCAGTCATGCAGCCGCCACCCCAGGCGGTCCCATCTGGCGTGGCTGGGCCACCTCCAGCCGGGAATCCTCGGAGCGTGTTCTGGGCTAGCAGCCCTTACAGGAGACGGGCCAATAATAATGCACCAGTGGCTCCGATAACTTGCCCGTTGCAGCCGGTCACGGATCCATTTGCTTTTAGTAGACAGGCGCTCCAAAGTATACCGGCGGGCAGTTCGTCCAAAAGCAGCCTGCCTGTCTTGCAAGGCCCAGCCCCATCAGGCTTTTCTCAGCACCCCGGTTTGCTTGTGCCTCACACACATGCCAGAGATAGCTCTCAGGGACCCTGTGAGCCCCTGCCTGGACCTCTGACACAGCCCAGAGCAGATGCCAGTCCGTTTTCTGGTGTGTTGACACCTTCAGCACCTCCTGGGCCTGAGATGAACAGGAGCACAGAGGTCGGTCCCAGTTCAGAGCCTGAAGTTCAGACTCCGCCATATCTGCCTCACTACATTCCAGGAGTGGATCCTGAACCGTCTCATGGGGGCCATTCTCATGGGAACATGCCTGGGCTCGACCGACCCCTGAGCAGGCAAAACCCACATGATGGTGTGGTCACCCCAGCAGCATCCCCTTCCTTCCCCCAGCCTCGTCTGCTGATGGCGGGACAGTGGGGGCCAGTGCAGGGAGGCCCACAGCCCTCGGGGCAACATCGTTCACCCTGCCCTGAAGGACCTGTTCCCAGCGGGGTGCCCTGTGCCACCAGCGTTCCTCATTTCCCCACCCCATCCATCCTACATCAGGGCCCTGGTCACGAGCAACACAGCCCTCTGGTGGCTCCCCCAGCAGCCTTGCCCAGTGACGGAAGAGACGAGGTGGGCCACTTGCAAACTGGAAGCCACCTGGCCAATAACTTTGATCCTGAAAATACATTCAGGCAAAATCCCAGAATTGTGAATCACTGGGCAAGCCCAGAGCTCAGGCAGAATCCAGGAGTGAAGAAGGAGCACCAGCCCGCCTCTGCTCTTGTGAACCCCCTCGCCCAAGGAGATAGCCCAGAACACCGCACGCACCATCCACTGGGGGCCGGGGCCGGGGCTGGCTGTGCTCCGCTGGAAGCGGACTCGGGAGCCTCAGGAGCTCTGGCGATGTTTTTCCAAGGGGGAGAGACAGAAAATGAGGAGAATCTCCCATCTGAAAAAGCAGGCTCATCTGGTCAAGCAGACTTTGACGATTTCTGCTCCAGCCCTGGACTGGGCCATCCGCCTGCACCTGCACACATGGGGGCAGGCAGCCTCTGCCAGGCCCTTCTCCCAGGCCCCAGCAATGAGGCTACTGGTGATGTATGGGGTGACGCAGTGGGCACAGGGCTGCCGGATGCCAGTGGCTCGCAGTATGAGAATGTTGAGAACTTAGAATTTGTTCAGAATCAAGAAGTTCTGCCAAGTGAGCCCCTCAATTTGGACCCTTCCTCCCTGAGTGACCAGTTCAGATATGGGCCCCTTCCTGGGCCAGCTGTGCCCAGGCATGGTGCTGTGTGTCACGCCGGAGCCCCTGACGCCACGCTGCACACAGTACACCCTGACAGTGCGTCATCCAGCTACAGCAGCAGAAGCCACGGAAGGCTCTCAGGCTCAGCCAGGCCCCAGGAGCTGGTTGGCACGTTCATCCAGCAAGAAGTTGGAAAACCTGAGGATGAAGCTTCAGGTAGTTTTTTTAAGCAAATCGATTCTTCTCCCGTAGGAGGCGAAACAGACGAGACCACTGTGAGCCAGAATTACCGGGGCAGCGTGTCCCAGCCCTCAACCCCAAGCCCCCCGAAACCTACAGGAATATTTCAGACAAGTGCAAATAGTTCTTTTGAACCGGTAAAATCCCACTTAGTTGGGGTGAAACCATTTGAGGCAGATCGCGCCAACGTGGTTGGTGAAGTAAGGGAGACCTGTGCCCGCCAGAAGCAGTGCAGACCAGCTGCCGCCCTGCCCGATGCTTCTCCTGGCAACCTGGAGCAGCCACCAGACAACATGGAGACCCTCTGTGCACCCCAGGTCTGTCCCCTGCCTCTTAACTCCACCACGGAAGCTGGGCACGTGCTTCCACACGCAGGGGCGCCGCCCTTGGATACTGTGTATCCGGCACCGGAGAAGAGACCTTTAGCCAGGGCCCAGGGGCCCGTGAAGTGTGAGAGCCCAGCAACGACTCTGTGGGCGCAAAGTGAGCTGCCAGATTTTGGAGGCAACGTCCTTCTGGCCCCTGCAGCCCCGGCGCTTTATGTGTCTGCGAAACCTCAGCCACCTGAAGTCGTTCAGCCTCCAGAAGAGGCGATGTCCGGGCAGCAGTCACGGAAGCCAAGCTCGGCGGCCCCTGTGCAGAGCCGAGATGGCATTGGTGCTTCGGAGAATCTTGAGAATCCTCCCAAAATGGGAGAGGAGGAGGCCCTTCAGTCCCAGGCGAGTTCTGGTTATGCAAGTTTATTATCCTCACCGCCCACTGAGTCTCTGCAGAATCCGCCAGTCTTGATTGCCCAGCCTGATCACAGCTATAATCTGGCTCAGCCCATTAACTTTCCTATGTCCTTATCGAACTCTAATGAGAAGAATCAGTCCTGGAGAGAGGCTTTGGTGGGGGATAGACCTGCAGTCGGCAGTTGGGCTCTCGGTGGTGATTCTGGGGAGAACAGTTCTTTGTCTGGGATTCCAACCGGCTCTGTCCTGAGCTTGTCTCTGCCTAGCAGTGTTGCCCAGAGTAATTTTCCACAAGGTTCTGGTGCTTCTGAAATGGTTTCTAATCAGCCTGCTAATTTGCTGGTTCAACCACCATCCCAGCCAGTTCCAGACAATTTGGTTCCGGAAAGTCAAAAGGATCGTAAGGCAGGAAGTGCTCTTCCCGGATTTGCTAATAGCCCTGCTGGAAGCACAAGTGTGGTGTTAGTTCCACCTGCACACGGCGCCCTGGTGCCTGATGGTAATAAGGCAAACCATTCCAGTCGTCAGGAAGACACTTACGGAGCCCTAGACTTTTCCTTAAGCAGGACTTTGGAAAATCCTGTAAGCATGTACAGCCCATCCCATTCTGACAGCCTCACTTCTCAGCAAACTGTTGCCAGTCATCCCAGACAATCTGGGCCCGGGGCACCTAACCTTGACCGTTTTTATCAGCAGGTCACGAAAGATGCCCAGGGCCAGTCTGGCCTCGAAAGAGCCCAGCAGGAGCTGGTGCCACCCCAGCAACAGGCTTCCCCACAAGTACCCAAAGCCACGTTGTCAGAGCTGTCAAATCCAGAGAGTCTGCCAGCACAGGGACAGGCCCAGAACTCAGCACAGCCACCAGCAAGTCTGGCTCCGGCCGACGCAGGTCAGCAGCTGCCGCCTCGGCCTTCTCAGTCCTCTAGCGCGTCGCTGGTGTCCACCGGCTCCAGCCAGGCAGCGGTGCCATCAGAGCAGCCATGGCCACAGCCGGTACCTGCACTTGCCCCCGGCCCACCGCCTCAGGACCTGGCCGCCTACTACTACTACCGGCCTCTGTACGATGCCTACCAGCCTCAGTACCCCTCGCCATACCCACCGGAGCCTGGCGCAGCCTCCCTCTATTACCAGGTAGAGTCGAGTCGCGTGTGTAACTCACTTTTCTCTCGTTGCTTTGACCAGTTGACTCTTAGTTGACTCTTTCACTCACGGTGTGTTCCCTAGTCGTGTTTGTTCGCTTGGTTCCGAGGTCACCCACAGTCCCGCAGGTGTGAGAACAGTATTCCAGTAACGCTTCCTGTGGACAGGGCTCCTGACTCGAGAACTTGCTCTCCCAACCACAGGCCACCCTTAGTTCACACCACACGTTAGCATCTTGAATTGCTTATAATACCTGCTTAGGATTTGAACCAGCCTCCCCAGCTAATGTGACAAAAAGAGCCCTCCATTTCCTGTCTCCCCTGCTCCTGCTGGCTGTCTGCAGACAAGCTCTGTGTCGCACGCCTTGGGAAGCTGGGATGGCCCCTGGAAGCTTACATCAGAAGCACTGGACATCACATAGTTCTTTAAATGCCTCCTGGAGATTAAAAACACGGAGAGAAAAATAGTCCGTTTTGGAGCATGAGCTGCACGCAGCAGCTGAGTGAGGCGGGGTCCCGCAGGCTGCTCTCAGCACGTGGTGGTGCGGGCAGTGGTGCGGGCTGTGGCTCGGGGCCCGGCTGTGCTCATGCAGAAGATTCTTCTGTGCCTCCTTTCACAGGGACTCCAGCTCATGAGTGACGTTTGAGTTAGGTTCCGCGTAATCCTGCAGTCGTTCGAAAAGTGTCTATGTGCACATGTGATCATTATTTGCTTTTCCTACTCTCTAACCCAGTTCAACATACACTGATTGGGTTCACCGATTCAGTGTCACTCCAGGTAGAAGGATGCGTGATAGGGAGTTGGAAAGCCGTGGTCTTGCAGTATGTAAGGCCAGTTGGAACCAGACTTGGGGCCACACAGGAAGGCCTTGCAGTCAGAAGGGCGCCCGCCCCGAGGAATAAGCTGCCGTGGCTGGCTGGGTACTATCCCGGGGAATGGGGCTGGGCCTCCCCTTGGGCCTCAAGCATCACGGTTTGTGTGCATATGACCAGGTGCACACCTGACCCCTCAGACCTGTGTAGGTTCCAGAAGGAGCCCAGGCACTTTTTATTTCCATACAAGGACATTCAGCTCTGCTGGGAGCCCTGGGGTAGGGCTGATGCAGAGTGAGGGGGAAGCCGTGGCCTCACTTCGGGTCCTTTGTACGGTCCTGCTGCTGCGAGCCACGTCCCTCCGCAGAGTGCACTCCTCCCGCCATGCCTCTTGCTGTGGTGTCTGGGTGGCCAAGGACGAGTCTGCTTTGCTGTGATTTCACATTGCCTGCCAGCCAGCGGTAGCCTCGAGGCTTTGAGGTCCCTAAGCATGAATTCTGGCGTGTGCCCAGGGCACTGCATGTCTGCAGATCCTCATGTGTCCACGTGGCCCCCTTGGGGACAGATCTGTGGCCACGAATTGGTTGGTGATGGGGCTGAAGCCTCCCGAGAATAAAGCACGGTCCACTTTTAGAGGCTGCTCCTGGCTGTGGCTCTGTTCACTGGGACCCTGGTTCTCTGACTTCACGGAGGTGGCATCTGAAGCAGGACACAGGGGTTGTTCAAATCATGGCATCTCCACACTGGACTCGTCAGGAAGCAGAAACCTAACAGCCCCTTCCAGAAGTCACCACAGGCCCCTGGGGTTGTCTGCTGACATGCTGGTGCCCTGGGTCCATCCAGGGGTCTCGTGAACAGGGCCAGCGCTGTGGGTCTTAGGACGCCCCGCTGCCTGTGGGTGTGGCTGTACTTTGGAGGTCTGTGTGGTTGTGCATGAGGGAAGGGCCACACTCAGTCCCGCTGGGGAGCAGCCATCTGCGATGTTTCCAGCTCAGGCTGGCTGTCGAACGAGCTTGCTCTTGATTGGTATCTAATCCTACCCAAATGCTTCCTCCCACAGGATGTCTACGGCCTCTACGAGACTCGATACAGGCCCTATGACAGTGCTGCATCTGCGTACGCCGAGAACTACCGCTACCCCGAGCCCGAGCGGCCCAGCTCCCGAGCCAGCCACTCCTCGGAACGGCCACCTCCCAGGTGCGGCCATGCCCACCCTGGCTGCCCCTCTGTCACACTCAGACCCATGTCTGTGTTGCTTGCTATGGGGATAACAGTGGCTCGAAAAGTTCTGTATTTCTGAAGAATTATACAAACTTATCTAACGTATGTTTACATTTTCTCGGTATGGACAAATTGTAGGATGTGTTTTTCAATGAAATTAAACACTGCCCCGGGTAGCATTGGCTGTGCTAACTGAGCATTGGTCAGTTAGCGTTTGGCCCCACCTCTGCTCGGGCCAGACCCTGCTCAGGGCTGCAAAGAAGCAACCTCTGACTTGTCCTGGAGCCCCTCTGGCCGGGGCTCATCTGTTGGTCCGGCCATTTGCTGATGGGGTGTCCGGGCTCCCCAGAGACACGGCAGCTTTTCACAGGTCTGCAGAGGCCTGGGGGGACTGGTCACAGGGGTGACTTAATTCTTAGACCTGTCCAGCTGGCTACAGAAAGCAGGGCCTGAAAGCCTGTGTCTCCTCTTCTTTTTTTTGTCTTTTGAGGCAGGTCTCACCCTGTTGTCCAAGCTGGAGTGCAGGGGTGCTGTCTTGGCTCACTGCAGCCTTGACCTCCTGAGCCCCGGCAATCTTCCCACTTCAGCCCACCGAGGAGCTGGGACTACAGACATGCCCCACCAAACCCAGCTAATTTTGTTCATTGTTTTTTGTAGAGACTAGTGTCTCACTATGTTGCCCAGGCTGGTCTCGAACTCCTGACCTCAAGGGATCCTCCTGCCCTGGTCTCCCACAGTGCTGGGATTACAGGCATGAGCCACTGCGCCCATCCAGCCTATGTTTCTCCTTGACGTTGCCTCCTCTGATTGAAGGCCAGCCATGCCTCTGTTTGCCATTACAGAAGAGGGGTTTGGAAAGACCTGTGGCACTGTGCCTTCAGCTGAGTAGGCCCTTAAGCCAGGTCAGAGTCCTCCCGGGCCCTAGAGCCAAGGAGGCCGCTGTTGATTTTCATCTCCACTCAGGAGGTGCGCAGAGCCCTGCGAGGGGTGGGCATGGTGCTGGCCACCGCGCTAGGCTGCGCCTTCCAGGGCCTTAGCTGCACCTGCTCCTTGTCAGGTCTGAGGAGAGACTGTCTCACAGGTAGAGGCTCCCAGCCAGGGGATGTTGCTTCTTAAACTTGGTAATAGAGAAAAACTAGTTTAGTGAAGACTTTGTACCTGCACTGGTGTTTGAAAGGTTCTTCCGGCTTATTCTTAGAGGTTTTTAGGAGCTTATCTGAAGACAAAGTTTCTGTGTGTGAACCTCTGCCCACGCGGCTAGCCCTGGTGTACTCGGCTCCAGGGCACACACTGGGCCATGTGCAGCTAGATGTTGGAGGTGCTTTGTGAAGCAGGCGGCGCTGTGAGGCTTCACCTCTCCAGAGGCTGTAACTGTGAGAAAATTCCCAGGGTTTGAGCTACTGTGTGTCACCCTGTCACTTGGGAAGCGGGGTTTGAAGTTAAGATCATGTTCCGATTCAAAGCCTGCCAGGTCCAGCTGAGGGTGAGCGGGCAGGTGTTTCCTAGAGGCCCTGAGAGGTGAGAGCACGGAGGAGAGACAGCCAGGGAGTTCTCACCGTTCCGTTTTCCTTCTGCTGGCCGCCCTGCCAGGCTCACCTGGGAACCGATTCTGAGAGGCCAGTGGTGGCTCATGATACAGAGAAGGACTCTCACCAGAGGTGGGGTCAGGTCACCACAGGAATGACGTTGTCACCGGACCCACAGGCTCACTCTTCCTTCCCGTGTTTGGATCCTGCGGCTGCCTTCAGCCCTGGCTTGTGCAGGCTCTGGGGAGTCCTCTCTGCTCCCTCCCCAGCTTTGGTTGGGGAGCACATGTCTCGTGCGTGTGTTCAGCCTCCACGCTTGCGCGTGGCATGGACTCACCTCTTTGGGCCTGGTGTGGTCCGATCCCCGCAGGCACTGCCGTCTCGGCCTTGTTCGTTTTTGAGACTGTGTCGCTCCTGGTGAGTGACTGGGGTTGGAAAGGTCGGCTGAGGAGACGGCAGCTCCTTGGAAACCCCGAGTCAGATAATTTCTCCAGAACCTGCTGTGGCCCACATGAATGTGATAGGCCCTGGAGTGGCCACTCAGGCTGTCGGTTGGCAGGGCTTGTTACTGTGGCTGAGCAGTTGGATGTAGGGGACAAGTGGGCTTGTTACTGTGGCTGAGCAGTTGGATGTAGGGGACAAGTGGGCTTGTTACTGTGGCTGAGCAGTTGGATGTAGGGGACAAGTGGGCTTGTTACTGTGGCTGAGCAGTTGGATGTAGGGGACAAGTGGGCCGGGCGCGTGCCTCCCAGCAACAGCCCCGTTCGATGCAGAGGTGCTGCGCCAGCCGAGCAGCCAACCTCCGCGGCGGGTGTGGCTCCCGTGACGTCTCCCGAAGGGGCGTGGGAAGGGCCACATTCTAAAAATGAAATATTGTATGAAAATTATAAGGTGCTCTTACAGCCTTTCAAGAGTCTTTTTAGGTCTCACCCTTTTAGCCAGGCTGGTGTGCAGTGGTGCCATCATAGCTCACTGCAGCCTGGAAACCTGCTGGACTCAAGCCATCCTCCTGCCTCAGCCTCCTGAGTAGCTGGGACTGCAGGTGTGTGCCACCATGCCTGGCTAATTTTTTTATTGTTGTATGGAGATGGGGTCTCACTGTGTTTACCAGGCTGGCCTTTCAAGAATCTTGACAGTACCAGAAGGTCTGATACTTGATCATTGTACTAACTTGTGCTTTTCCTGTGGTGAGAGTCAGGATCATGGCTTGGTCTACAGAACCAGCCTTTCTGGGGCACGTGTAGGATTCTGACACCTCGTCAGCTCCAGGAGACCTGAGGGGGAGGTGGGGCCCTTAGAGTCCCACTCCAGAAGCACACACAGGGGTTCCGACGGGGTACCCTGTGCGCATGCAGGGAGCACCAACAGCCAGCGGTCTGCGGTCGAGGCTGTGAAACTGGCATTTTAGGTTGGTTTGAATGACTCAGTGAGACCAGGCACCGTGGGTCACTCCTGCAATCCCAGCACTTTAGGAGGCTGAGGTGGGTGGATCGCTTGACTCCAGGTGTTCGAGACCAGCCTGAGCAACATGGTGAAACCCCATCTCTATGAAAAATATAAAAAATTAGCCGGGTGTGGTGGCGCATGCCTGTAGTCCCAGCTACTCAGAAGCTGAAGTGGGAGGATCGTTTGAGCCTGGGAGGTGGAGGTTGTGTTGAGCTGAGGTCGTGTCGCTGCACTCCAGCCTATGCGACAGAGTGAGACCGGTCTCGAGAAAAAAAAAAAAGAAGCTCAGTCCATTTTGTCCTCTGCTGAGCATAAAAATTCTAGGACCTATTTTAGCATTGACTTTTCTAGGCTACAGCAATGAGAACACAAAAAGGGTCAGTTCTTTTTAGCCGACGGCGCTGAGTTATTTTGCCAAGATGAATTTGAATTAGCTGCATGGTGGGAAATTCCAGAGTCTCATCCTTGCCACTGTTTTGAATCTTCTAACTGGAATTTTTGTATAAGCAAAGTGCTCTGATGAATGCCTGTTGCTTTGGGAATTATTTGTATTGGCTGATATCACACTTTAAGAAATAGGTAATTTGCTTTTTAACAGCACTGTGTGTTTTTTCAGGCAAGGGTATCCTGAAGGATACTATAGTTCCAAAAGTGGATGGAGCAGTCAGAGCGATTACTATGCAAGTTATTACTCCAGCCAGTACGATTATGGAGGTATGTCAAGGAGCTCCAAGCAGCTGGCCTTAGCAGGTGCCTTGTGCAAAAGACATTGATGACGTGCAGCCCTGGCCAGCCAGCGCCTGCTGGTGACTTCCAGGAAATGTCCCCTTTTATTAGTCTCTTTATGTTTTTGCCCAAGAGCCAAAATAGTTGGAAATACTTTGTATTTGGAAATAATTATATTGATATGTTTCATTACAGAATTTCATCTTAATCTTAGCATGAATGCATCTTTGTCATATTGGCAGATTTCTCTGATTTTCTAGCAGAGCATAACCAGCAGTTTGAGAGCTGCTGTGTCCACATGTGCCTTCGTAAACATAAACGGATGAAAAGGAAGTGAAGTGAAAAACCATCTCCTCAGTTCCACCAGCCACGTTCCCCGCACTCCTGACCGCAGGAGGCTGGCAGCTGCTGCCTGGGGCAGTGTGGACGTGGGCCACGCCCACCGGGCAGTGAGCTGGGTGCTCCCTGGCGGCAGCCAGCTGCAGCCCTCCATGCAGTGTGTGCGGCACAGTGGCCATGTCCCAGGAAGAGCCTCCTCTGGTCACTCCTGCCCTGGCTGTGACCTCTCGTGCTCTGGGCCCTGAATCCCCTTGACAAATATCGAGCATCCTCTTTGGTATTTGCACCTGTTTTAAATAGAAATTTGAAGAAGAAAAGACATCTTTAGAAAAGATGATAAAAGACCTTTTAAGAACTTTTTCTTAATACTTGCTAAAAACACTTGCTGAAAATGGTATATCCATTTCGTTTACAGCCCTTTTAAAGTAACCTTTTAATATTGAGATTTTTTTTTGAAAACCTTATGAGTCACATTAAGGTGAAGAAATAGTAGTAAAATTTACAGTTAGGGGATTAACTAGTAAAAAGCAGCAACCGTGAAAGTGAACTAGCTGGGCGCAGTGGCTCACGCCTGTGATCCCTGCGCTTAGGGAGGCCAAGGTATGGGAGAAGCACTTGAGCCCAGGAGTTCAAGAACAGCCTGCAAAACATAGTAAGACCCAATCTCTGTTTAAAAAAAAAAAGAAGAAAAAGGACTTACTAAAGAAATCTTGGCCGAGCGCGGTGGCTCACGCCTGTAATCCCAGCACTTTGGGAGGCCGAGGTGGGCGGATCACGAGGTCAGGAGATCGAGACCATCCTGGCTAACACAGTGAAACCCCATCTCTACTAAAAATACAAAAAAATTAGCCAGGCATGGTGGCGGGTGCCTGTAGTCCCAGCTACTCGGGAGGCTGAGGCAGGAGAATGGTGTGAACCCGGGAGGCGAAGCTTGCAGTGAGCTGAGATCATGCCAGCGCACTCCTCTCTGGGCGACAGAGCGAGACTGTCTCAAAAAAAAAAAAAATCTTTTAGCACCTTTTCTAAAAATATTTTTTCCTTTTAATCTAAAACACTTAAGTATTGAGAGAAAAATCAGCCAGTTGCCTTTAGGTAGCTTGAGCCCTCCAGATCTCATGGCTTCCTGGTGTTGTGCTGGTTTCCAGGAGATAAGCTAGGTTTCTGGAGGAGTTCTTGGAGCATGAAGTCCTGGGGTGGTGTCACTTCTTCAGTGATATCTGAGGCATTTCTTCTTTTGATTGTTACTGTATTAATCATTAGTTCCTTGCTCACAGATCCAGGTCACTGGGATCGTTACCACTACAGTGCCAGAGTCAGGGACCCCCGCACCTACGACCGGAGGTATTGGTGTGATGCAGAGTACGACGTGTACAGGAGAGAGCACTCTGCCTACGGGGACAGGTTGGTGGAGCACCCCTGGGGGGAAGAGGCTGGGGGCAGCCAGGGCGCGCTAGTGCTTCTCTGCCCTCATGTCTGGGTTTTAATAAAGAGCTTTGGTAGTTTGGGTGAGCATCTGCCTGATGTTCTGGTCCCTGTCTGAAAGGAAGGAGGGAGCAGACCCTTCCAGAGTTCCCAGCGTGGACTGTTAGAGGAGAACTGGCCTCAGCAAGAGGACTGTTCAGCACCCCTGGGAGCACCTGGGAGGCTGGGCTCACCTTTCTCGTCATCCCTTTTTAGCGGTCGCGCCCTGCAGCCCAGAGCAGTGGCCACACTGGAGATGCATTCCCAGGACTTCTCTAAAGCTGCGCGTCAGAGGGCCCTGAGGGTCGGGTGTGGTGTGTTGTGGCTCAGCCCCAGGGGTCTCAGTCTTGGCCCCTGGGCAGCCGCGTGGCACATGGGGACGGGACCTCCCGCACTCCCATTCCTCTGCCTCTGTCCCCCGGCTTCCTCTAGGCCCGAGAAACGTGACAACAACTGGAGGTACGACCCTCGCTTCACGGGGAGTTTTGACGATGACCCCGATCCCCACAGAGACCCTTACGGGGAAGAGGTGGACAGGCGCAGCGTCCACAGTGAGCACTCGGCACGGAGCCTGCACAGTGCACACAGCCTGGCCAGCCGCCGTAGCAGCCTCAGTTCCCACTCACACCAGGTGCGCGGCGGCACCTCACAGACACACGGACGGTTGTGTTTAGAACCACCATCCTGTTTGCAGTGTACCTAAACTTTTACCACTGTGCCTGGAGAACTGATTTTTCCCGTTTGCTTTGTTTTTTAAGAGTCAGATTTACAGAAGCCACAATGTGGCTGCCAGTTCCTACGAGGCCCCACTTCCTCCAGGCTCCTTTCACGGGGATTTCGCCTACGGCACCTACCGCAGCAATTTCAACAGTGGCCCCGGCTTCCCAGAGTATGGCTACCCTGCAGACACCGTCTGGCCTGCCATGGAGCAAGGTGTGTGCTCAGCAGGACAGAGGGACACTGGCTTACCCCACTGGGACGGCCACCCAGCCTGGGATCCGAACATGGGAGTCAGGGCTGGGGTTGGAATGGTGATGTCCTGGCCTGGCTCTGACCCAATCCATCCTTCCAAGTGGCAGAGTGTGTCAGGACGGGCTGACGCTGTCTCTTCGATTGCAGTTTGGCTTAAGGCCTGAGAGCTGCCCTGGCTGCCCCGACATGCATTTTAAAGTGTGACTGTGAGGACAGCCCACATCCAGGCTCTGGGCGGCCCCTGGTCACATCCCCATCGCAGACCCCGTGGCTCAGCAGGCTTGCAGGAGGGAGCTGCTCCTTCCCCTTGGAGACTCCGCTCCTGCAGGTGTCCGTGTGTCAGAGTTCCCTTCCAGGATGCTCAAATGCTTTTCTTGGCAAATTGCAGAAATATATGTAAAGATATAAAGTTACAGAATGGAACAGTAGACTGACTGAGTTTCCTTTTTTTTTTTTTTTTTGAGATGGAGTCTTACCCTGTCTCCCAGGCTGGAGTGCAGTGATGCAATCTCGGCTCACTGCAACTTCTGCATCGGGTTCAAACAATTCTCCTGTCTCAGCCTCCCGAGTAGCTGGGACTACAGGTGTTTGCCACCATGCACGGCTAATTTTTGTATTTTTAGTCGAGACGGGGTTTTGCCACGTTGGCCAGGCTGGTCTCAAACTCCTGACCTCAAGTGATCCGTCCTCCATCTTCCAAATGCTCAGATTACAGGTGTGAGTCACTGTGCCCGGCCTTACTTTTGTAAAGTATTGTTTCAGTAACAACATTTTTTCATTTATTTATTTATTTATTTTTATTTTTATTTTTTTTTTTTTGAGACGGAGTCTCGCTCTGTCGCCCAGGCTGGAGTGCAGTGGCCGGATCTCGGCTCACTGCAAGCTCCGCCTCCCAGGTTTACGCCATTCTCCTGCCTCAGCCTCGCGAGTAGCTGGGACTACAGGCACCTGCCACCTCGCCCGGCTAGTTTTTTTGTATTTTTTAGTAGAGATGGGGTTGCACCATGTTAGCCAGGATGGTCTCGATCTCCTGATCTCGTGATCCACCCGTCTCGGCCTCCCAAAGTGCTGGGATTACAGGCTTGAGCCACCGCGCCCGGCCGATTTATTTATTTTTTTTTTTAAGAGACAGTCTCGCTCTGTCACCCAGACTGGAGTGCAGTGGCGCGGTCATGGTTGCTATCTCCTGGGGTCAGGTAGCCCTCCTGCCTTGGATCCTTTCAAAGTGCTGGGATCACAGGCCTGCGCAACTATGCCTGGCTCCTTATTTTCTTTTTTGCTTGAGGTGTTTTGCTGTCCTTTTTGTTGGGTGCTGTGTGGTCATCACAGTCTGCATCTGGTTTTGTGAAAGGGAAAGAGCTCGGGCGCAGCCAGGCCCGGGAGGAGCCCGCGCCGCCAAAGGAGCCTCAGGACGGCTCGCGAGGGTGATGCAGGAGCTTCCTCAGTGTGCAAGGGAATAGCTCTCATACTTAGTGATACCAGCATTTATCTTTTCCTGACATACACTTCAGTTCTACTTTTAAGTATGATGTTAAACAATTCCCGACTTTGAGTTGGAAGTTTGTCATGATAAATCTCACCGGTGATTTCAGCTGTGTGGGCACATTGAAAGTCTAGGCTCAGAAGCAGCAAACAGTGACAAGCTGATGGTTTCTTTTTCCATTTATCTTAAATGCAGTTTCATCAAGACCAACTTCTCCTGAAAAATTTTCAGTGCCTCATGTCTGTGCCAGGTTTGGCCCTGGCGGTCAGCTTATCAAAGTGATTCCCAATCTGCCTTCAGAAGGACAGCCGGCCTTGGTGGAGGTCCACAGCATGGAGGTAATGGCACACGGTGTCACTGCTCTGCCGCCCCGGGGAACTCTGTGCTTTGCAGTTTGTCATCTTCAATTGCCAGACCTTGTCTCTGGACATACAGAGCTTGTCCTTGGAAAAATGTTTATTCCTATGAATTTTCAGTGTGTAGGTTTTTCTTCTGTTTGGTCGTATCTTTGTCATCCTAAAAGTCAGTATTGTAAGCGTCTGCCTTGGTGTTAGATGTGGTTTGATCGTATATGCATTTCCTGTCCTCATTTTGGGGATGTTTGCTTTATTGCTGCTTTTCAGTGATAGATGCAGCGGGTGGGCCCTGTGCTGCCCAGGTGAGGGGAGCGGGGTGGCACATGGGCCCGGCGCTGCCGAGGTGAGTGGGGCTGGCGTGCGCCTCTTCCTGCAGCTTCTACAGGCTTCTGTAACATGTATTGGGGTTCTGCCTCAGGATTTGGGGAGAAAAAATGGATTTCACTGCTTAAAATAAAGTTTGAAATCATGGCTGTGGCCCACACAGGCCGTGTTCCATGTAATAGCCTTGACAGAACCTTCACCCGCTGTGGGGCGGGGCAGGGCGGGCGGGCCAGGCCACCCTCTCCTCTCTGGTGCAGCATCTGTGCCTGGGTTGGCCGGCCTGCCAGCAGGGTGGCTGTGCACTGGCTGCCGCTGACCCACAGCCCTCTCCTCGTAGGCCTTGCTGCAGCACACGTCTGAGCAGGAGGAGATGCGGGCGTTCCCGGGACCCCTGGCCAAGTATGTTCCTTGTTGAGGCTTTTCTTTGCGAGCCCGGCCTTGCAGACATCACTGCTCACTGTGTGTTCTTTCTACAGAGACGATACCCATAAAGTGGATGTCATTAATTTTGCACAGAACAAAGCTATAAAATGTTTGCAGAATGAAAACTTAATTGACAAAGAGTCTGCAAGTCTTCTTTGGAATTTTATTGTTCTCCTATGCAGACAGAATGGGGTATGTGTCTTTTTACTTCTAGAGTGTTTCTTTCTGCTGGTCTTCATTTCGTCTTGGGCATTGCATGCTCAGCCTCCTGGCGGAGCAGGGCGAGATCCGCCTGCCCAGCTGTGGGAGCCTCGAGGACTGGGTGGGGAGGGAGAGGGAACATGCGGTTGGGATGAGATGAGGTTTCAGTCCAGCCTTGCCAGCCTTTCGGGTAGTTGTGGGTCTGGCTGTGTCCAGGGTGGGGCTTTGTCCCCGTGATGATCTAATGCGTCCTCACCTGAGAGCCATTATTCTCCTTCCTGTTCCTGTTGACCCGAACAGACCGTGGTAGGGACCGACATTGCGGAGCTTCTCTTACGAGACCACAGAACAGTGTGGCTTCCTGGGAAGTCGCCCAATGAAGCAAACCTGATTGATTTCACGAACGAGGCGGTGGAGCAGGTGGAAGAGGAGGAGTCTGGCGAGGCCCAGCTCTCTTTCCTCACTGGTGGTCCGACGGCTGCTGCCAGCTCTCTTGAGAGAGAGACGGAGCGGTTCAGGGAGCTGTTGCTGTATGGCCGTAAGAAGGTGCGCCTGCCCATCATGGCACCTGGTGCCTGCAGGTGTCCACTGGGTCGGGCCTGGTGCGGGCGATGCAGCCGTTGGGGAGGGACACGGCCCCTCTCGGGAGCGTCCGCGCTGCGGTGTGGGGCTTCGGGTCTTGCTGTTTCGTGAACGATGCCGGCCTCTTTTATGCCATCCTTCTGGAGGTGTTCATGTGGGTTTCCTTCTAACTATTTCCAGTGTTGGAGACCTGCAGATGGAATTTTCAGTCATTCAATAAATGCACGTGTTGAGCACGGGCCGTGTCCCTGCTGTGTGTGCCAAGTCTCAGATGAGACATGCATGACACGAGTTTTGGCATTCTCACAAAGTCAGGCTCGAGTCCACAGCCCAGAAGTCGTTGGGAGTTGGGAGGACGCACCCAGCCTGTCAGAGGCGCAGTGCATGGAAAGGCCACGGGCAGGGGAGCAGCCAGTGCGTATAGCGTCCAGTGACTGGGGCCACAGCAGCCTGGGGACCAGGGCAGGTGGGGGACCTGAGACAGGAGCCTGCTCTGGGACAGTGGGATTGGGGGGTCCATAGCGACTGCAGCAGGGACAGTGTGTTCACAGGAGGGCCTGTCTAGGGCGCATGATGTCCGCTTTGGATGTGCTAAGCAGGAGAGAGGCCAGTCTCACGGGCATGTGTGGCCCTGAATAGCAGAGACATTGGATAGGCCCAGAGCTCTCCGTCCTTTTATATCATGATAAACTCAGAAAGGGCATATTTGGCCAGTACTTTTATTTTTTTATTTTTATTTTTTGAGACAAAATCTCGCTCTTGCCCAGGCTGGAGTGCAGTGGCGTGATCACCGCTTAATGCGGCCTCGACCTCCTGGGTTCAAGTGATCCTCCCATCTCAGCCTCCTGAGTAGCTGGGACTACAGCTGCACGCCGCCACGCCGGGCTAACTTTTTTTTTTTTTTCCGTAGAGACGGGGTTTCACCATGTTGCCAGGCTGGTCTCGAACTCCTGGGCTCAAGCAATCCGCCCGCCTTGGTCTCCCAAAGTGCTGGGATTACAGGCATGAGCCACCGCGCCCGGCCTGATCAGTATGAGTCTATTATGGATGTTTTATAACTGATTGAAGTCGTGTAACCTGTTAGCTTTTATTAACATCTTCCTCTACTGTAGCATTTTTGCCTCCTAGCCTGAAGTCCTAAATTATACCCTAGATGATTTTGGCGAAAGGGGAGGCTGCCTTACTGGAGCCACTGTCTGTGCTGACGGATATTCGCGGAGGCCTCCTGTTAGAACCGGGGAATTGACCCGCGTGTGTTTCCCAGTGGACGGGGCGGCGTGGTGGGCAGTGCGGTGTGGTTAGCCCTATTTGTGATTAGCGTGCTTATGTTTTATGCTGAAAATGGATAAAAGCAGCAAATATCTACAGATACCCACTACCACAGGGACTTTGAAACTCAGGAAAATAGTGAAATGCTGACGTGTCTTAATCTCCAAATGGTGAATACGTTTTTGAGGCCTTTGGGTTGTTTGTGTATCTGCTGCTGCGTGAGGACACATGGCCTGTCGCCTGTCTTGACTCATGTCACGTGAGCACCACCGATAACTCACCAAGGCCCCTGGAATGCCTTTTGCAGGATGCTTTGGAGTCTGCAATGAAGAATGGCCTGTGGGGTCACGCTCTGCTCCTTGCAAGTAAGATGGACAGCCGGACACACGCCCGAGTCATGACCAGGTACAGTCCCACGGTGGCCTGGTCCAGTGGCGAGCCCTGCTGGCTCCCTGCAGCACGCAGCGTCCACACTGGTGGCAGGTGGCAGGTGGCAGGCAGATCTCACTTGACTGTGCTGTGCTCCCACACGAACTCGGGCTTCCTTGGCTTCGAGGCTTCCTTGGGTTGTGCTGTGGAGAGCTTAAAAAGTTTTTTATTAACCGCATGGTTTTTAATACTTCACATAAAATCTCAGTGAATTCCTTAGTCTTCATCTTTTTTTTTTTTTTTTTGAGACAGAGTCTTGCTCTGTTGCCCAGGCTGGAGTGCAGTGGCGTGATCTCGGCTCACTGCAAGCTCTGCCTCCCAGGTTCACGCCATTCTCCTGCCTCAGCCTCTCGAGTAGCTGGGATTACAGGCGCCCGCCACCATGCCCAACTAAGTTTTTTTGTATTTTTAGTAGAGACGGGGTTTCACCGTGTTAGCCAGGATGGTCTTGATCTCCTGACCTTGTGATCCGCCCGCCTTGGCCTCCCAAAGTGCTGGGATTATAGGCGTTAGCCATTGCACCCGGCCTAGTCTCCATCTTTTATAGCTTTTTCTTTAAATTTTGAGTTTTGCTCTGTTGCCCAGGCTGGCGTGCAGTGGCGCAGTCTCAGCTCATCGTAACCCCTGCCTCCCAGGTTCAAGTGATCCTCACGCCTTGGCCTCCCAAGTAGTTGGGACCACAGGCATCCACCACCACACCCAGCTAATTTTTTGTATTTTTAGTAGAGATGGGGTTTTGCCATGTTGGCCAGGCTGGTCTCAAACTCCTGGCCTCAAGGGATCTGCCCACCTTGACCTTCTGAAAGTGCTGGGATTACAGGCGTGAGCCACCACACCTGGACTTATCTTTTACAGCTTTTTTTTTTTTTTTTTTAATATTGAGATAGGGAAAGAAAAATAAAATACTGAGATATGTGTACTTTGCCTAAGTGAAATATAAGTCTAATCATTACATCAGAGGGCTGAGGTCTGGTTTTTTTTTTTTAATTTAGTTTATTACTATTTTATTTATTTATTTTTTTGAGATGGAGACTTGCTCTGTCGCCCAGGCTAGAGTGCAGTGGCACGATCCCAGCTCACTGCAACCTCTGCCTCCTGGGTTCAAGCGATTCTCCTGCCTCAGCCTCCTGAGTGGCTGGGAATACTGGTGCATGCCACCACACCCAGCTGATTTTTGTATTTTTAGTAGAGACGGGTTTCTCCATGTTAGTCTCTAACTTCTGACCTCAGGTGATCCGCCCGCTTCGGCCTCCCAAAGTGCTGGGATTACAGGCGTGAGCCACCGCGCCCGGCCGGACTTTTTCTTTTAGCTGAGCCAGCGTGGGGTCTTTCTGTGTTTATGTCTGCCCAGGTTTGCCAACAGCCTCCCAATCAACGACCCTCTGCAGACAGTCTACCAGCTCATGTCCGGGCGGATGCCCGCCGCGTCTACGGTGAGTGGCACTGCCTGGTGGCTCGCACAGGCTCCACTGCCTGTGTGGAGTTTGCTCATGGGTGATGCTGTCACAGGCCGTGAGGTGCCTCCTCGTGCTGGTGAGCCCAGCTGCGTGGAATTGAAACGGTGCTGGCTTCCAGGGATGAGGCTTCGTTTTGTTTTTCCTCATGTTAGTGCTGTGGAGACGAGAAATGGGGAGACTGGAGGCCGCACCTTGCCATGGTCTTGTCCAACTTGAACAACAATATGGATGTCGAGTCCAGGACGATGGCTACCATGGGCGACACTCTGGGTAGGTCAGGGGTGGAGATGGGCATCAGGCGTCATGGATGGAGCACCGAAGGCCCGGTTGTCTGTGGCATTGGCAGAAATCACAAGAACCCGGCCTTCTTGGTCCAGCTCGCGTCTCTAGTGCCTTCTGTGCACATGCTTGACTTCCGCGGGCATCCGCAGTCACTGAGACTCCGCCTGGTTCTCGTGTCTCTCCAGCTTCGAAGGGCCTCTTAGACGCGGCCCACTTTTGCTACCTTATGGCCCAGGTTGGATTTGGTGTTTATACGAAGAAAACTACAAAGCTTGTCTTAATTGGATCAAATCACAGGTAAAGAAGCAAGTCAGTGTAGTCCTGTAAGTTTTCCTTTAAAAGTAAGACGAAATCCTTCTCCTTTAGTTAATTCAGAAATGGACAGAATCATGTCTTGATTTGTCACATGGTGGGACACACTTCTGGATGACCTGCTCTGAGGTTGACTCTGCTAATAATTGGCCATGTTTTTCAAATCAAAATAATTCGCTTCCTCTACAGTTTGCCATTCTTAAAGTTCGCAACCAATGAAGCAATCCAGAGGACGGAAGCCTATGAGTACGCCCAGTCCCTGGGTGCCCAGACCTGCCCCCTGCCTAGTTTCCAGGTAAGCAGGTGCTGCCAGCCTGCAGCTGTCATGGGTGGGCAGGCGCTCAGTGCTAACAAGCTTTTGGCTACTTAGATTTTTTGAGTTCTTATGGAAAAAAATGATGTGAGTTTTTTCGGGGAGGATCTTGAGAAGACATTTGATCTAAAATGCTAAAAAACTAGATCACATTGAATTGAGGCTTTCCGTTTGCATTTGATTTCAGTTATTTTCATGAGCTTTTTTTTTTTTTTTTTTAAGGAGACAGGGTCTCACTCGTTGCCCAGGCTGGAGTGCACTCTGCTTTGATCACTCCCAGGCTTCAGCCATTTCCCTTGGCCTCCAGAGTAGCGGGGACTACAGGCAGCACCACCATGCCGTGCTAATTTTTTTGTTTTTTTTTTTTTTGAGACGGAGTCTCACTCTATCGCCCAGGCTGGAGCGCAGTGGTGCAATCTCGGCTCACTGCAAACTCGGCCTCCTGGGTTCACACCATTCTCCTGCCTCAGCCTCCCATGTAGCTGGGACTACAGGCGCCCACCACCGCACCCGGCTAATTTTTGTATTTTTAGTAGAGACGGGGTTTCACCGTGTTAGCCAGGATGGTCTCGATCTCCTGACCTCGTGATCTGCCTGCCTCGGCCTCCCAAAGTGCTGGGATTACAGGTGTGAGCCGCCGCGCCCGGCCGTATGAGCTGTTTTTAATATTTGAGGGAGGTATTCTCTGATGCAGTATGGGGGTGGTGTGTATAAAATATACATAGAGAGAGGCTGGGCATGGTGGCTCATGCCTGTAATCCCAGTACTTTGGGAGGCCAAGGTGGGTGGATTACCTGAGCTCAGGAATTAGAGACCAGCCTGGCAACGTAATGACACCCTGTCTCTACCAAAAAAAAAAAAAAATACAAAAATTAGCCAGGCATGGCAGCATGCGCCTGTGTTTCCAGCTCCTCAGAGGCTGAAGTGGGAGGATCGCTTGAGCCCAGGAGATTGAGGCTGCAGTGAGCTGGATTGTGCCACTGCACTCTAGACTGGGTGACAAAGTGAGACCCTGTCAAAAAAAAAAAAAAAAAAAAAGTATCTAGAGAATGCCTGTGGGCAGCTGGAGCTGCACGGAAGGCAGTGGTCTTCCTGCCGTGCTCTTGGGGTGTTGTGGCTGTGAGAGCCGAGTGGCGCCATGAAAGGGGTTGGCGGGGAAAGCAGGGTGGGTTTCTTCCCAGCTTAGTCACTTACTTTGCTCTTGAAATCCTTCAGGGAACAGGGACTAGGACTGTGGTCGGCGGGCGTGGTGGGTGGGAGACATGATGAGTGAAGCGTCCAGAAGAGTCCACAGCTTCCAGTGTGACTCTCGGACGCAGGGGAGCCCCTGGGCAGCGCGAGGCTTTGTCCATCAGTGATGCTCGGACGCAGGGGAGCCCCGGGGCAGCGCGAGGCTTTGTCCATCAGTGATGCTCGGACGCAGGGGAGCCGCGGGGCAGCACGAGGCTTTGTCCAACCACGATACTCGGACGCAGGGGAGCCCCCGGGCAGCGCGAGGCTTTGTCCATCAGTGATGCTCGGACGCAGGGGAGCCGCGGGGCAGCACGAGGCTTTGTCCAACCAGGATACTCGGACGCAGGGGAGCCCCGGGGCAGCGCGAGGCTTTGTCCTTCGGTGATACTCGGACTCAGGGGAGCCCCAGGGCAGTGCAAGGCTTTGTCCGTCGGTGATGCTCGGACTCAGGGGAGCCCCCGGGCAGCGCAAGGCTTTGTCCATCCGCGATACTCGGACGCAGGGGAGCCCCGGGGCAGCGCGAGGCTTTGTCCTTCGGTGATACTCGGACTCAGGGGAGCCCCGGGGCATCGCGAGGCTTTGTCCAACCACGATGCTCGGACGCAGGGGAGCCCCGGGGCAGCGCGAGGCTTTGTCCGTCGGTGATGCTCGGATGCAGTGGAGCCCCCGGGCAGCGCAAGGCTTTGTCCATCCGCGATACTCGGACGCAGGGGAGCCCCGGGGCAGCGTGAGGCTTTGTCCATCCGCGATGCTCGGAAGCAGGGGAGCCGCGGGGCAGCAAGGTTTCTGTCGTTTCAGGTGTTTAAGTTCATCTACTCCTGCCGCCTGGCGGAAATGGGGCTGGCCACGCAAGCCTTCCACTACTGTGAGGCCATCTCGAAGAGCATCCTGACGCAGCCGCACCTGTACTCCCCAGTGCTGATCAGCCAGCTTGTGCAGGTGCTGCCCCCGGCGCCGGTCCTCAGGATGCCGTGCTGACTGCCGGGAAGGAGGGCTTGCCAGAGCCCCCGGGCGTGGGGGTGGCGATGGTTCAGATGCGCGTTGTGGTAGACGCTCAGAACCTGCCTCTTGGGCAGATGAAGATCTCTGAATGGCTTCGTGTTTTGCGTCTTAGTCTGGGGACTCTCAGGCACCACGTGCCAGCACAGAACCTTGGTGCGAGTTTCATAATCAGAAGAAACTGTCTGTAGGATACTGTTTTTGTTTTTGTTTTTTTGAGACGGAGTCTCGGAGTCTCGCTCCGTGGCCCAGGCTGGAGTGCAGTGGTGCAATCTCGGCTCACTGCAAGCTCCGCCTCCTGGGTTCACGCCATTCTCCTGCCTCAGCCTCCCGAGTAGCTGGGACTACAGGCGCCCACCACCGCGCCCGGCTAAGTTTTTGTATTTTTAGTAGAGAGGGGGTTTCACCGTGGTCTCGATCTCCTGACCTCGTGATCCACCCGCCTCGGCCTCCCAAAGTGCTGGATTACAGGCTTGAGCCACCGCGCCCAGCCCAGGATATTCTTTTTTTATTGAAATAGAGTCTCACTCTGTCACCCAGGCTGGAGTGCAGTTTGGTGCGATCTCGGCTCACTGCAGCCTCCACCTCCCAGATTCAAGCGATGCTCCTGCCTCAGCCTCCCAAGTAGCTGAGATTACAGGCACCACGATTGACCAATTTTTTGTATTTTTAGTAGAGATGGGGTTCCACCATGTTGGCCAGGCTGGTCTCGAACTCGTGACCTCAAGTGATGCATGCATCTGCCTTGGCCCCCCAAAGTGCTGGGATTACAGGTGTCAGCCACCATGCCCAGTCAGGATGTTCTTATTTTGAGGAAATTTAGTCTGGTGGTTGATAGCTTAAGTGTCCAGAGTCCAGCAGCCTTTGTTTGAGTCCTGGCTGCACTGTTGCAAGCCTCAGTTTCTTCCCCTGTAAAACGGAGGAGGTGTGACTGGCAGAGAGTATGGGAGGTGCCACGGGATAGGTGTAGGCGGCGCCCGTGTTGCCCCAGGATCTTCATCTCTCGTCGGTAGTTCCATTTGTGAGAACGTGCTCATGGGATACCCAAAAAATGTATTAGGGACATTTTTAGACCCATTTCAAAGTTCAGAGAGTCATTGATGAATCCTTAGGTGCTCATCCCCCGCCTCAGTGGTTATGAACACATGGTCAAACTTGTGTTCTGCCCCCTTCTGCCCTGCTTTGCGTCTCCCACATTCCCGATGAAAGCTTGCAGACATTACCTGGGAGTGCAGCTCTTACTGAGTCAGGTCCACATGGTCAGGTGGTAGTCTCGGGCCAGGTGTGTTCCAGGGGGTGCCCAGCGCTGCCGACCCGGTGCCCGTGGGCCAAGAGGTCGTCTACAGCAACTTCCCACAGTCGCCCAGCATCCCGTGTATGTCACCTAAGCACATACTAGAAACATGTATGCAGCTAATTAGACTTTATCCCCAGTAAACACTGAAGCTGCATTGCCTGGACATTTTGAAGACGGCTCACTTGCCATCACCTGGTGGTGACAGGGGCCTCTGATTTTTGCCCATGTCTAGATGGCTTCCCAGTTACGACTCTTCGATCCCCAGCTGAAAGAGAAGCCGGAAGAGGAGTCCTTGGCCGCACCCACGTGGCTGGTTCACCTGCAGCAGGTGGAGCAGCAGATCAAGGTACAGCCTTGGCTTGGGGTGGCCCAGAGGCATCTGGTAAGGTGGCTTCTGTCCCTGTTATGTCCACACTGAAAGTATGTATCTAAAGACAGTATAACTGCAGATGTGTGCCTATGAGAATTCCCCAATTCCCCAGAAAGGGCGTTGAGTGCCTCCTGTCCTGAAGTAGGGACACAGCAAGCATGGTGGTGGCGGGCGGGCGGCGCTGCCGTGCGGCCACAGGTGGCTTCCACAGGGCAGGCCTTGTTCTCCCTCAGGAGGGGGCTGGAGTATGGCATCAGGACGGAGCCTTCCCGCAGCAGTGTCCCGGCACGCCGAGCTCCGAGGTGGAGCAGGACGGGGCAGGACTCAGTCAGCCAGCGGCCCTGGGGATCGCCAACCCGCTGCTGGCCATGCCTGCGCCGAGCCCTGAGCACTCGAGCCCCAGCGTGCGGCTGCTGCCCTCAGGTGAGCCCAGGTGCGCGGCTGCTGCCCTTGGACAGGCCCCGGCTTCCTGCTGGCTGAGCTGTGGTCTGCGCCCTTGCCTCCTGCAGAACCGCTTTCAGATGCAGACTGTTTGAGGCAGCGTCTCGCACCACCACGGTGGTTGTGGGTCTCCTCAGTCTCCTCCCTTCTTCCCTTCATGCTTCCTGCCCTGCTGAGATGGAGGCTCATGGCTTTCCATGTCCATAAATACCCATGTGCTGGCGACACTGCCCTGAGTGCCCGCTGCCTGCTCAGCCTCCCTGCTTGCTTCTTCGGGAGCCTCAGCCACACCGTGTCTGGGCAGCACCCTCGGCTGTGCTCCTCTGCAGCCTGCTTCTCCCAGTCAGCCCCATGGGGGGAAGGGCCAGCCCAGAGCTGCAGGGAGTCAAGTCCAGATGCCCTCCTCTCACATGCTCCTTGGCTTCCTTCGTCAGTGAACCTCACCAGCACAGCCTGCACGCAGGGCCGCATGCCTGGATTAGCATGGCTCCTTACTGCTCGCCTCCTGCTTCTTCCCCAGACCCTCCAGGGTCTCCATCTCACCTGAAGACAAGCCAGGGTCTTCATAGTGGCCACAGGCCCTCTGGGGTCAGCCCTAAGCCCTCCTGCCCTGGTGCTGTGTCCACTCCCATGCTATGGACCAGCCACACTCCTGATTTGGGCCCACTGCCTCGCTGTCCACCCTCCCTGCCTGACGTCCACTCTGCTTCGTCCTCAGACACCGTTACCACGTCCTGGTTGATTACTCTCCTTAGCGTTTGCTCTTCTTACTCAGTTCACCTGTCCTGACTCCTGTGAGCACCCAGCATTTCTTTTGTTCTTGAAGCATCCAGGGCCCAGCATGGTGCTGGCAGGCAGCAGCCCTCCCAGGTTTTATGTCGAGTCGGAAGAATGAATGAATGAATGAGTGGCCTGTTTGACCACTGACCATGGAGGAGGGGACTCGAGTCTAGCAGAACTCTGTGCCAGATGGTCGCTGTGGGCTTGCGTTTGGGCTGGGCCATGCCCAGGAGCCCACGTGGTGCTCTGACACAGTGTTCCTCCTGCCCCCACCCCTGGAAAAGAAAGTGAATATTCTGCTTTTCTCCAAACCACTGATGGTTCGGTACAGTGGTGATTTCAGGGCTCTTTGCTCTGTTGGGCCTCCCTTGTAACAGAAACGGGGCTGTACAAAATCACTTGTCATAAACATGTTGAGTATCAGCTCCTTCCAGTGACTCAAGCTACCCTCAGTAACCCCAGCCTCTTCTCCATTGTTCCCATGCAGCTCCGCAGACGCTCCCTGACGGCCCGTTGGCCAGTCCTGCCAGGGTGCCAATGTTCCCAGTGCCCCTGCCCCCGGGGTCCCTGGAGCCGGGTCCTGGCTGTGTGACCCCAGGGTCTGCACTTGGCTTCCCGGAGCCCTCCAGGCCTGATCCTGCAGCGCTGTGCCCGGGGCCTGGCCTCCCGCCTGGTGTGCCGCCTCTGCAGGAAAGGAGACACTTGCTCCAGGAAGCCAGGAGCCCAGACCCAGGTGGGGCTGCAGAGATGCTGTCTTGAGAGCAGAAGCAGCACTGGGGGTGGTGTTTGTGGGGATTGGTGGAAGAGATTGAAGTTATTTGAGCTTGAAACAACTTACGTTACTTGTCTTTTTTTTTTTTTTTTTTTTGGAGACGGAGTCTCGCTGTGTCTCCCAGGCTGGAGTGCAGTGGCGTGATCTCGGCTCACTGCAAGCTCCGCCTCCCGGGTTCACGCCATTCTCCCGCCTCAGCCTCCTGAGTAGCTGGGACTACAGGCGCCCGCCACCATGCCTGGCTAGTTTTTTGTATTTTTAGTAGAGACGGGGTTTCACCGTGTTAGCCAGGATAGTCTCGATCTCCTGACCTCGTGATCCACCCGCCTCGGCCTTCCAAAGTGCTGGGATTACAGGCTTGAGCCACCGCGCCCGGCCCGTTACTTGTCTTAATGTAGACCAAACATTCTGAAAGTTACAGACTGGATGGGTTCAGAGTCTCACTACGATAGTAGTGTTAATGCCAGTTTCTTTTGTGACTTGGCTTTTTGTTATGATAAGAAGCCTAAATGGCCATCTGGGGCAGGGCACGGTGGCCATGGGTCTCCTGGGATCTGTCTTCAGACCCTCCTGACCGCCTGGTGAGACAGACAGGGGCAGGTCATGAACTTCTGTCTGGAAGTTGATTTGGTGGATCTTGTCCCTGGTCTGTGCCTATGTCTATATGTGTATATATGGACAAAGCAAAACACAGGCCTAGCTTTAAAAATAAAAGAGTGTGCACACATGTGGGACGATGTTCAGTCTTGGTTTCTGCAAACCATGCTGGTGTGGCGGTAGCTGGGTGGGAAGGCGGTGTGCCTGTTGATCTGTGTGCCGCACACACGTCCCGCCGCCTCGTGACCGAGATCACAGTTGCTCTCTTTCCCGTTGACAGGGATCGTGCCGCCGGAGGCACCTGTTGGAAACTCCCTTTCCGAGCTAAGCGAAGAAAATTTTGGTGGAAAATTTGCTACTCTGGTACTTTGTCACATTTTCTTAAACTATTTGTTTTCCATAAAGTTCATCGAGTGGGCACCCAGACTCCTTGCTGAGTTGTAAGTAGGAGGATGGTAGTGAGGACTATGAAATTGTTTCTAAAATTGTTTCTTAAAGCGGAAGTGCTTCTAAATAGCTTTCATCCTTAAAATATGAAGAGTTGGTGAAAACGCTGGTAGGGAAAGACGGGAAAGAGAATTCAGTAGCATAAAAACAGTTACTTTAAGTAGAAGAAATACCCAGATATCATGAAGTCCCCTTATTATTTTTAATTCTTCCAAAATGGGCACTTTCTCTGATTTCTGCATCTCTTTTTCTTTTTGTATTTTTGAGATGGCATCCCGCTCTGTTGTCCAGGCTGGAGTGCAGTGGCGCAATCTCGGCTCACCGCAACCTCCACCTCCCAGGTTCAAGCAGTTCTCTGCCTCAGCCTCCCAAGTAGCTGGGATTACAGGCATGTGCCACCACGCCCAGCTAATTTTTGTATTTTTAGTAGAGATGGGGTTTCATCATGTTGGCCAGGCTGGTCTTGAACTCCTGAGCTCAAGTGATCTGCCCACCTCGGCCTCCCAAAGTGCTGGGATTACGGGTGTGAGCCACCAAGCCTGACCTTTTTTTTTTTTTACCCTAAGACATAGTTTCATTCTGTCACCCAAGCTGAAGTGCAGTGGCGCCATCTTGTCCACCGCAACCTCCGCCTCCCAGGTTCAAGCGATTCTCCTGCCTCAGCCTCCCAGGTAGCTGGGACTACAGGCATGTGCCACCATGCTTGGCTAAATTTTTGTATTTTTTGGTAGAGACGGGGTTTTGCCATGTTAGCCAGGCTAGTCTCGAACTCCTGACTTCAAGTGATCTGCCTGCCTCAGCCTCCCAAAGTGCTGGGATTATAGGTATGAGCTACCGCACCTGGACATCTCGTTTTCTTTTTTTTTTTTCTTTTTTTTTTTTCTTGAGATGGAGTTTCACTCTGTTGCCTGGGCTGGAGTGCAGTGGTGCGATCTTGGCTTACTGCATCCTCCACCTCCCAGGTTTAAGCAGTTCTCTGCCTCAGCCTCCCGAGTAGCTGGGATTGCAGGCGCCCACCACCACACCCAGCTCATTTTTTTTTTTTTTTGTATTTTTAGTAGAGATGGGGTTTCACCATCTTGGCCAGGCTGATCTTGAACTCCTGACCTCGTGATCCACCCGCCTCCGCCTCCCGAAGTGTTGGGATTACAGGTGTGAGCCACCGGGCCCGGCCGGGCCTGACCTCGTGATCCACCCGCCTCCACCTCCCGAAGTGTTGGGATTACAGGTGTGAGTCACCGGGCCCGGCCGGACCATCTCTTTTTCTACAGTAGAATTTCTTTTCTAATTTTTTTTATCTCACAAGATATCCTGGAATACAATAGAATTTCTAACATTTTCACTGGTTTTCCTGAAAGAGAGATTTATCTGATTAGACATGTTTGGTATAAGATGGTTGCTTTTATACAGACCACATTCTGGAACCTTCTTTACTTATACCCAGCCCTTCCCGGGCATCCCATTAGTAGGCGATTGCTGTAGTTTGAACTTGCATTCGGTGTTTTACCCTTTAAAATATTGTGTCCCTGGAAAAGTAAAAGTGAGGGTTGAGCTATTAAACACTAGGACTTGACCCAGGAATAAATATTTTTAAAAATCATTGTATCTTTGCGAATGCGCATCGCCCCACTCTGGCCAGTCTTCCCTCAGTGTGTGCTCACGCTCCATTTCTTCCAGCCCGGAATCTCCGTCGAGGGTCCGCATTTGCATTTCGAGTGCTGAGTGCTCCCAGATGGAGCTGCTTATGAAGTGCGGCTGGCTTTCTCTAGTCAGGCCAGGCAGAGGCTCCGGGAGGCCCAGTCAGGGGGCTGCTCTCCCCAGCCCCCTCCCTGACTCCCTCTGGGCACCAGAGTCGTGTGGCCTCTCAGTGACATATTTAAGGAACACACCTGGGGAAGCGCGTCCCCGCTGTCTTTCGGTTCCTGTGTGAGGAGCCCCAGGATAGCCTGTTCTGCGTTGCCTTGTGACAGGCCCCCTCGAGGACGGCGCCAGACTCAGAGGCCCCCCCAGGGTGGGATCATGCCGACTCGGGCCCCACGCAGCCACCTCTGTCTCTCCCATCCGCTCCCGAAACAAAGAGACCCGGACAAGCAGCCAAGAAAGAGACGAAGGAACCTAAGAAGGTAGTACAGCTGCCCCCAGTGCGCCCAGCGGCCAGCAGGGTCTGGACAGGAGGCACGCTTCCCAGAGCGCCGGCCTCTTAATTCACCACACATGCAGACAGCCTCCTGATACAAACAGCCGAGTGTCTGCAGTGCACACGGCATGATGACTGTCTATGTATTTGTGCCTTCGGATAACAGGATAATAGCCCACCCAGGTCAGCATGGGGACACAGTCCGGCCCCCAGAGGTCCCCTCTGGCCATTACCTGTCAGACCCACCCGCAAGGGACCAGACGGCAGCCGCTCCTTTGTCGTTGTGGTGTGTGCCTGCCGCTGGCTCACGGACTCTCCCAGTTGTGGACTTTGGGACAGCTTTCAGTGTGGGGCTGGGAGCATTCAGGCCCCGGGAGCCTCCTGGCCAGTCTCTTGGTGAATGTGCTTGTTTTCCTTAGGTGCGCACGGAGGAGCGGAGGGTTTAGGTCGCAGGACGAGCGTGTGTTCAGCTTTAGGAGACACTGCTGAGCAGTTGTCTGAAATGGTTGGTTGGTTGGTTGGACATTTGTCACACGTCCTGCAGCAGAGGACAAGGGCCCCAGATATCCCTCGTCTTCACCAATACTGGGCAGTGCCAGTTCTTTAACTTAGCCGTTGTGCTGGGGCTGATGACATCTCATTGTGGCTTATACTCTGCATCTCCCCAGCGAGGTGTGATGCTGGGCACCTTCTCGTGTCCCTGTTACCATCTCATTGCCCTTTTGGGGCGGTGCTTGTTCAAGTCTCTATCCATTTTTTTGTTTGTTGTTGTTTTTTTCCCATAAAGATGGGGTCTTACTATGTTGCCCAGGCTGGTCTCAAGCTTCTGGGCCCAAGTGATCCTCCCGCCTCATAGCTGGGACTGCAGTTGCAGCCACCGCACCTGACTTTCCTCTCCATTTTTAATGGTGATCTCTTTTTTTTTTTTTTGAGACGGAGTCTCGCTCTGTCACCCAGGCTGGAGTGCAGTGGCGCAATCTCGGCTCACTGCAAGCTCCGCCTCCCGGGTTCACGCCATTCTCCGGCCTCAGCCTCCCGAGTAGCTGGGACTACAGGCGCCCGCCACTGCGCCCGGCTAATTTTTTTCTATTTTTAGTAGAGACGGGGTTTCACCATGGTCTCGATCTCCTGACCTTGTGATCCGCCCACCTCGGCCTTCCAAAGTGCTGGGATTACAGGCGTGAGCCACCGCGCCCGGCCTTTAATGGTGATCTCTTACTGACTCGCAGGAGTCCTTTCTGTATTGTGGATATAAGTCCTCTTAGGTGTATTGATTGTGATATCGTCTCCCAATCTGTAGATTGTCTTTTTACTTGTGATGGTATCTTTTACCCCGGCACTCTGGGAGGCTGGGCGCGGCAGCTCACGCCTGTCACACCAGCACTCTGGGAGGCCGAGTGGATCATGAGGTCAGGAGTTCAAGATCAGCCTGGCCAAGATGGTGAAACCCAATCTCTACTAAAAATACAAAATTAGGCCGGGCGCGGTGGCTCAAGCCTGTAATCCCAGCACTTTGGGAGGCCAAGACGGGCGGATCACGAGGTCAGGAGATCGAGACCATCCTGGCTAACACAGTGAAACCCCGTCTCTACTAAAAAATACAAAAAACTAGCCGGGCGTGGTGGCGGGCGCCTGTAGTCCCAACTACTCGGGAGGCTGAGGCAGGAGAATGGTGTGAACCCGGGAGGCGGAGCTTGCAGTGAGCTGAGATCCAGCCACTGCACTCCAGCCTGGGCGGCAGAGCGAGACTCCGTCTCAAAAAAAAAAAAAAATACAAAATTAGCTGTGCATAGTGGTGGGCGCCTGTAATCCCAGCTACCCGGGAGACTGAGGCATAGAACTGCTTGAACCCAGGAGGCAGAGGTTGCGGTGCACCAAGATCGCGCCATTGCACTCCAGCCTGGGCAACAGAGCAAGACTCTGTCTCAACAAACAAACAAACGAAAATGAAGTGCATCATGTGAAGAATAAAGTAAATTTTCCTAATAACCAAATTCTCCACGCATGGGAAACACAGAGGGGCCGTGTCTGCCTCTGACACACGCTGACTTGGACAGCCTGCCTTCCACTTCTCAAAGGGCAGGATGTCGGAAGCTTTCTCAGTGTTCAGACGTAAAAAGCTCATGAAGGCACGTTACTGTTCTGACCTATTTAAGTTTACAGTAAAATACACATAACAAAATGCACCATTTTAACCATTTTCTGAGTGCACAGTTCTGTGGCACTGAGTACATCCACACTGTTGTGTTACCATCACCACCATCCATTTCCAGAACTTTCTCACCTTCCCATTCTCACCTTCCCAAACAGAAACTCTGTCCCCTTGAAACGGAGCAACAACTCCCGGTTCCCTCCCACCTCCATTCCCCTGGTGTCTCTGTGGATCTGGCGACTCTGGGGCCTCACAGAAGTGTGTCCTGTAGAATTTGTCTTTTTGCTTCTGGCTGATTTCATGGAACGTAGTGTTTTCAAAGTTTTTCTTGTGGTTTTATATTTAGGGTGAATCCTGGTTCTCTCGTTGGCTACCTGGGAAGAAAAAGACAGAAGCTTATTTGCCAGATGACAAGAACAAATCGGTGAGTGCTGTCGAATACGGCACGGGATGTCCGAGGAACTGTAATGATTTTTCTCTCACTTTCAGAGCAGACCTGAGTAGGTGTTTCCTGAAGTTTTGAAGTGTCATCATTAATCAGATTCTAATTCTGTTTAGCTTCAGTCTACTGACCTTTTTTCTTTTTAAAATCTTGGCAGATTGTTTGGGATGAGAAGAAAAACCAGTGGGTGAATTTGAATGAGCCAGAAGAGGAGGTACATTGTCATTTTCGTTCCCGCTGGGTGTGAGGTGTGAGTGGAGGGAACAGCTTCGTGCGGCCCTGTGCTATTTGGGCGGCTGCTGCTCCCTGTGGAGCGTCCTGACTGCCGTCCCAGTGGGTTTCTGGTGCACGCAGTGCAGTGCGTGTCTGAAGCTGCGTTTCTCTCTGCAGAAGAAAGCCCCGCCCCCGCCTCCAACCTCGCTGCCCAAGGCTGTGCAGGCTGCGCCGCCGGGTCTCGCAGGGCCTCCTGGAGCCCCGGTGAACATGTTCTCTAGAAGAGCAGGTAAGGGTGGCCTTGGAGTGGGAGCTTGCTTGAACGACTAACTCTCCGAGAGAGGCCAGCGTGTAGCTGTTGTGCGTGGGGAGGAGGTGATGGGTGTCACACCGTGGAAGGTAACGCTGGTATCACGAGGAGGAAGCCTTGGGGACGAGCGCAGCTCTCCAGAGCATTACGTGGCTCCACAGCCGTCTGCATTGACAAGCTGTAGGCACAGCCATGTCCGTGCAGAAGCAGAGGGCCTGTGCCACAGCGGGGTGAGATAGGGAACCACCCCAAGGCCAAAAGCCAAAACACATCTGCGTGTAGAAAGGTGTCCTCGTCAGGGTTGGGCCACGACGTGGCTTCCAGCATGTCCCTGCGTGCTTTTGCTCTGACACAGTGAGCACTGGAGGCCGCCTGGTGCGTTCGCCTCAATTTGCTTCCCTCCCCTTTGCAGCCGGAAGCAGAGCTCGCTACGTGGATGTCCTGAACCCGAGTGGGACCCAGCGGAACGAGCCGGCTCTTGCTCCTGCGGACTTTGTCGCTCCACTCGCGCCACTCCCGATTCCTTCCAACTTGTTTGTGCCGAGCCCAGGTAGGCGGCACAAGCACCAGCCCCAGTCTCCTGACCTTTGACCCTCTTTCTGTGGGTCTCCTAAATGTCCTGTTAAAAGAATGACCTGGTCAGCACGCAGGGAGCCTGGGGTTGGTTTGTGGTTTTTTTATGATTTGCCTGTTTCTGCGTGAGTGTGCCGTGTGTGCAGCACGAAACTCTCTTCCTCTCTGGGTGTCTTCAGTGAGACCCCAGGGATGTTCTGGACGGAATCATGGCCTCCTCACTCTCTCATCCCCAGATGCAGAAGAACCACAGCCTCCAGACGGGACTGGCAGGGAAGGGCCTGCACCAGCTAGGGGCCTGGCCAATCTAGAGCCTGCCCCAGAGCCCAAGGTGAGTGGCTGCGGTGGGAAAGAGGGGAAGGGTGCCCAGTGAGGAGTCACCTCCCCATCCTGCCAGATAGGGCCTTGCCTTCTGCAAGTCAGTACCCAGTGTGTACGCAGAGAGTGTTCCGTCTTAAATGCCTCACACTTGTGTATGATCGAGACGGCAGGTAGAATGCATGGTGCCAGGCGGGACAGAGCTGTTTGGGAAGACGGAGATCTGGGGATGGTGACGGTGATGATTGCTCAGCACGGCGAATGTGCTTAAAACTTAAAAATGATTCAAGTGGCAAATTTTATGGTATGCGTATTTTACAATTTTTAAAATTGGAAAAAATAAAATTACTCTAAGTTAAAGAGAAATTATCTACCAATAATAAAAGTTAAGTATATGTTCATCCAAAAAAAAAAAAAACAAAGGGGCCGGGCGCGGTGGCTCAAGCCTGTAATCCCAGCACTTTGGGAGGCCGAGACGGGCGGATCACGAGGTCAGGAGATCGAGACCATCCTGGCTAACACGGTGAAACCCCGTCTCTACTAAAAAATACAAAAAACTAGCCGGGCGAGGTGGCGGGCGCCTGTAGTCCCAGCTACTCGGGAGGCTGAGGCAGGAGAATGGCATAAACCCGGGAGGTGGAGCTTGCAGTGAGCTGAGATCCGGCCACTGCACTCCAGCCTGGGCCACAGAGCGAGACTCCGTCTCAAAAAAAAAAAAAAACAAATGACTCCCATGTGAAGTAGAACAGCTCTGACCAGCTGGGAGTGGTGGCTCACGCCTGTAATCCCAGCTTTTTGGGAGGCCAAGGTGGGCGGGTCAGTTGAGGTCAGGAGTTCGAGACCAGCCTGGCCATCATGGTGAAACCCCGTCTCTACTAAAAACGAAATTTAGCTGGGCGTGGTGGCAGGTGCCTGTAATCCCAGCTACTCAGGAGGCTGAGGCAGAAGAATCGCTTGGACCCAGGAGGCGGAGCTTGCAGTGAGCTGAGATTGCATCACTGCACTCCAGCCTGGGCGACAGAGCGAGACTCCATCTCAAAAAAAAAAGAGCAGCTCAGACTGCACTCTCTACAGGGGGAGTGGGACAGGCCTGGGCCTAATCCTGTTCTCCATTCATCAGCTGTGTAAAGCATGGGACAGTCACTCACCTCTCTAAGCCTCAGTTTTCCCCTCTGTAAAATGGGAATAACAGTAGCCCCAGATTGCAAGCCTGTCATAGGCACACAGGCAACTGGGAGAGAGCTGCGGGGGTCCAGAGCCAGCAGGGTTGTGCGGCTGGAGCCGCGTGTGAGGCACCTTTCTTTTCACTTCTCTCTGAGGAGCACTTGACGTGGAAGAGGAGGGCGTTTGCAACCCAGGCCAGAACAGCTTCCTATTTTTCGGCCTGGGGTGAGAGGCTTAAATTCCCTGGGATTTGGTTGCTGCAATTTTTCTTTTTCTTGGCAGGTTTTAAGCTCTGCAGCGTCACTCCCTGGCTCTGAACTCCCCTCCTCTAAGCCTGAGGGTTCCCAGGGAGGAGAGGTAAGCAGTGCCAACGCCAGGGCCTCCCACAGCCCAGGCCTCCCCAGCAGCTCACTGTCCAGGTGCCTCTTCCTTTATGGAGGGCGGTACTGGGTAGGAAGAGGCAGTTTAGAAACAAGAGCACCTCAAAGGTGGCGTTCCTGGGGGAAAAAAATTGCACTTGTTTTAACAAAACCATGTAGGAGCTTCAGGAAGGGTGAAGGGGTTTGAGTTGTCACCTCAGACCCGGTCCCCTCCCCTCAACAGCATGGAATCGTCTTGAATTGTGAGGTGTCAGGAGGTGAAGCTGGCTTAGGCCAAGGCTGGACTTCTCCTCCCAGCCCTCCCCTGAGATAGTGGTTGTTTCGGGGTAACAGCTTTACGTTAAGACAGGAATCTGAAGCTAACACTGGCTTTTTTCCTTTTGGGTTATATCGATTCTAATGGCATCACAAAGCTTTTGAAATGGAACTGACGGCTTGGATTGGACAGTGACGCGCATGTTGACTTTTGTCCGTGTTTTATGTGTGTTCTTGCTGTTTTGTAGCTTTCGCGCTGTAGTTCAATGAGTTCGTTATCACGTGAAGTGAGCCAGCATTTTAATCAGGTACCTGTGGCTGGTGGTCCTCACTAACATGAGAGCTGGCCTGTGTCCCTGAGCACGCGGTGCCGGTTCGCCGCGTGCGCTCTGCCACTAACCTCGCCCGTTGGCTCCCTCAGCGTCACGTGACCAAGGGTACAGGGTTCCTTTTTTTTTATTTGAGACAGAGTTTCAGTCTTGTTGCCCAGGCTGAAATGCAATGGTGTGATCTCAGCTCACCACAACCTCCGTCCACCTCCTGGGTTCAAGTGATTCTCCTGTCTTGGCCTTCCTGAGTAGCTGGGATGACAGGCACCCGCCAGCACGCCCAGCTAATTTTGTATTTTTAGTAGACACAGGGTTTCTCCATGTTGGTCAGGCTGGTCTCGATCTCCTGATCTCAGGTGATCCGCCCACCTCAGACTCCCAAAATGCTGGGATTACAGCAGTGTTCCTTTAAAGGGGGTTTGCTGTTCAGTATCCACATACACGGGGCGACTGGACCAACCCCGAGGTGTCCTAGCGAATGAGTGGGTTCTGTCATTTTGCTCGAATTGGTTTTTCCAATGACGGGCCTGGGGCGTGGCCTCGCCGCGTGAGTGTTTCCCGGGTCAGGATGCTCTCCTCTGGAAGGAAGATTTCTCCTTTCTGATCAAGCATGAGAACATTGGTTTGAGGCCGGGGCGAGTGCAGCAGTGGCGGTGTCCTGCGGCCAGTATGGGAGGGAGGTGAACGAACCCTTCATCTTCTGCCTGTCACGGCACCAGCTGCAACCGTGGCTCAGCAGAAAGGCTTGCTGTGACCCTTCTGCCTGCAAATGAGAGCTCTGGGCCTCGTGTCGTGGCTGGAGCCTTAGGTCTGCAGCCATGGGCACCTCCTAACCGCCTCGCACGCTCAGCGCCACCTCAGTGCCGTGTGCACCTTCCTGTTGCATGTTCCGGTGCTTAAAACATTGGCTCTGCACGTTGCTTTGATTTTCACCATTTTTCTATGAACCATAAAATAACTAAATCTGGTGTTGCAAGAAGTGCCTTCAGTCTGCTTCTGTAGTTTATTTACAAGTACCGTAAATCCCATGTAGAAGCGGCGTCTGTATCTGCAGTTGAAATGCCAGCTGCTGTGCAGCACAGCCCCGCTGAGGTGACTTCTCTGTGCTTCTCAGGCTCCTGGCGACCTCCCTGCTGCAGGCGGCCCTCCCAGCGGGGCCGTGCCCTTCTACAACCCTGCTCAGCTGGCACAGGTGAGTGACCCTTGCCTTTCTCCATGAGACCCTGACACGTCCACTGACTTCCTGACCCTGCTGCTCGGTGATGGCAGCTTTCTTCCCTAGATTCTCTTTCTCTTTCTTTTTAAAAAATATATATTTATGGCCGGGTGCGGTGGCTCACACCTGTAATCCTAGCACTTTGGGAGGCTGAGGCGGGCGGATGACAAGGTCAGGAGATCAAGACCATCTTGGCTAACACAGTGAAACCCTGTGTTAAATACAAAAACCCTGTGAAAAATAAAAAAAATTAGCCGGGCATGGAGCTTGTAGTAAGCCGAGATTGCGCCACTGCACTCCAGCCTGGGCGACAGAGCAAGACTCCATCTCAAAAAAAAATATATATGTATATATATACACACACACACACACACACACGCACACATTTATTGAGACAGGGTCTCGCTCTGTTGCCCAGGCTGGAGTGTCGTGGTACAGTCTCTGATCTCAGCTCACTGCAGCCTTAACCTCCTGGGCTGAAGCAATTCTCCTGCCTCGGCCTCCTGAATGGCTGGGACTCCAGGCGCGGTCAGCACACCTGGCAAATTTTTGTATGTTTTATAGAGACAGGGTCTCACCTCGCGCAACTAGGCTGGTCTTGAACTACTAGGCTCAAGCGATCTTCCCACCTCGGCTTCCCAAAGCGCTGGAATTATAGGCGTGAGCCACCGTGCCCAGCTTCTCTTTTCTGAATGAAAGTTGCACACCTACTGTGTGGCAGTCCACAGGGCACTGTGAGGAGCCACGCTGGGCCCTCCCCGGCTGCCATTTCTCCCTCTGTGTGGACACCAGGCCCTCTCAGGCCCTCGGTGCGCCCCGTGTGGGGCCCTGTGTGGACACCAGGCCCTCAGCGCTCCCGTGTGGGGCCCTGTGTGGACACCAGACCCTCGGTGCTCCCGTGTGGAGCTCTCTGTGGACACCAGGCCCTCAGCGCTCCCGTGTGGGGCCCTGTGTGGACACCAGGCCCTCAGCGCTCCCGTGTGGGGCCCTGTGTGGACACCAGGCCCTCAGCGCTCCCGTGTGGGGCCCTGTGTGGACACCAGGCCCTCAGCGCTCCCGTGTGGGGCCCTGTGTGGACACCAGGCCCTCCGTGCTCCTGCATTCGCTTTGCCTTTTCCTAGGTTGCAGTTTGTAAAATGTGCTTGGCTTTCTACTTGTGTATCCCTCATTCAGCCCCCAGCTCTGCCGCGTCTGCTGTTCTGTCCTCCTGGAGCCTGTGGTCTCTGAGCCAAGTGTGTTCTCTCCGCCCTTGGCCTGGGCACCCGAGTCTCCCGGAGTGGGTCCCGCAGCTTTGGAATCCTGTGTTGCTGCCTTTCTTAGTTACTCCGTTTGTCTTGGTGACACACATCCTCCAGTAGCTCTTGCTTTTTTTGTATGTTTATTTAGAAGCTTCTTGACAGAAAGGTCCCGGGGTGACTTGGGAGAAGCCTTTCATGTCTGGAGCTGCCTTTCTTCTCCGGCCTCTCCGGCTGGCTGGCTGGTAACATTCTTGGGCCAAAGTTGCTTTCTTCAGAACTGCAAGTGGCCTTAGGCTTCCTGGTGCCTGTGGTTGCTGAGATTCCAGGTCCATTCTGCCTGCAGCCCCTTTCGGGGTCCTGTTTCCCTGGGACCTGCAGGGCTTCCCTCTCAGTCCCCTTGGGCCTGAATGCATGCCCTTCAGCTGGGGAGTGTTCTAGAATGTTTTCTGCGGTTTCCCTCCCTCAGCCTCGTCTCTCCTCCCCTCTCCCTTGCCTGTGGAGTATAGACTGGCTGTCAGTGGAGGGGAGCCAAGCGGGGGCCGAGGTCTGGGGCATCTTGGGATTCAGCCCCATCGTCACCCCAGCCTGCCCTCACGGCTTCACACACTCCTCACGGCCTCACACTCCTCACGGCCTCACACACTCCTCACGGCCTCACACTCCTCACGGCCTCACACACTCCTCACGGCCTCACACACTCCTCACAGCCTCACACACTCCTCACGGCCTCACACACTCCTCACGGCCTCACACACTCTTGACCGCAGGCTTCCCGTGCTGGGGCCCAGCATTCCTGCCCTGGTCCTCTACAAACAAGGCCGAGGCTCCCAGGACCACTCCCCGCAGCTGCCCCTGGCTGTCACCTGCTTTTCTGCATCCAGACTAGTCGATTTTGGTGTTGTCCTGCTTCCTTTGCCATGTAGTTAGTGCCTTTACACAAATTCCTTGGCTTTCCCCTCCATGAGGCTTTGCAAGGGAGTAAGAATGGATGCCTGCATTGGCTGGCTATCTGCACCTGGGGTCCCCGCGTCCCCTGCAGTGGCCAGGCCTGGCCACCACTCCTCCCGGGACTCCGGACAGCCAGGCTGGCTCTGCAGAGCAGCTCTGGGCCTCATGGCCCTGACGAAACCGCAGCACCTCCGGGCGACCCTCACAGTAAACACTGATGGTTAAGGACTCGGTGCTTTCAAGGGAGCCCAGGACTTGGCACTGACTTGTCGGTTTCCAGAGGCTTTGAGGAACAAAAACGAAGCCTTCAGCTTGTCGGCGCCAATGGCCCATGCATTTCATTATGTGGACCAGCCCCTGTCACGCTGCGCCCGGGCACTGCCCACCCTGGGGGCAGGCATGCAGAGGTCATGCTGTTGATTTTGTTCCAGGCCTGCGCCACCTCCGGGAGCTCAAGGCTAGGGAGAATTGACCAGAGGAAGCACCTGGTGCTGAACTAGGCTTGCCCTGCTGTGAACTTGCACTTGGAGCCCTGACGCTGCTGTTCTCCCCGAAGAGCCCGACCAACCGCCGCGATCTCCGTCCCGCCCCCAGGGAGACACGGCAGTGACTCAGAGCTGGTCCCACGCTGTGCCTCCCTCCTCACCGCCCATCATAATGAATTATTTTGAAAATTAATTCCACCATCCTCTCAGATACTGGATGGAAAGACTGAATCTTTGACTCAGAATTGTTTGCCGAAAAGAATGATGTGACTTTCTTAGTCATTTAGGATGATTTAAGGATGTAGCATTCCTGGTCATTTAAGAATGTTCATTCGGCTGGAGCTGTCTCTGCCACAGGAGAGCCACACAGTGGGTAGCAACCAGGGCCTCTCCAAGCCGAGCTGTGAGTCCCTGCCCAGTGAGTCCCGCACTTCCTTTAAGGTGCTGGGAGCAAAGAGTGACTGTCTGAGGCAGACCCCGACCCTGCTCTGCAGCGCCTGGGCCCTCGCCGTGTTTGAACCTGGCCGAATGCGTGGAGGTCGCTGTGTTCTCAGTCAGCGTCTCTGAGGAGCCTCGGGGTTCCTTCGGCATTAGTTCAGTTTTTGAGAGAGGCCCTAGTTACTGAAGTGAATTTCTTTCCTGTAACAAAGATGTTTCCAGCCTCACTTTACTTTCTGTGGCCTGATGAGGACCATGGGTGATTTTGTGCACCCAAAGCACCAGCGACTGCCCACCGTGTGGCCCAGTCACTGGGAAGGAGCCCCAGGGAGCCGGCTGTCTGACACGATGGCTCAGGGTGGTCATCCAGGGTGAAAACCGACGGTGTGATGTTTGATTTGGGCTTCATTTTGCGTGTAGGAGCATGGTTAGACTCATTGTGAAGGGGGCTGGATGCAGTTCTCTAAAAGGCTGCACTTTTCCTGGTGCAATCCACGTGACCCACTTTCTCACCTGGGGGACATTGGTTCAGGGGTTGGTAACATCTTGGGGAGAGTATCTTAACACAGTTTCTTGACAGCTGCTCTGGAACCTATTTCTGCCCCAAGTTTTGCCACACTGAGACTTTGAGTAGCTCCTGGTGGACTCAGCCCTGTTGAACTCAGAGAGGGGCCTCCTCTCACTGATGCAAAGCTTTAAGGCTTCTCTGACTGTTCTGAAAACTCTTCGTATTCTTGTCAAGTCTAAAGAGACTGAAGAAAAGATTTAAATACTAATAAAAATCAGTAGATAATTTCTGTAGGTTCTGCTGGGGAAACATAAACTGTTTGGTGTTTAAATTTAAGTGTAGAAATTGTAGAATGCGGAATTAGCACAGGCCCTTCCTGACTTTCTGTTTCACTTGATCATTTAGCCCAGACCACCCAGGATGTTTTCCAAAATGTTTCACAGGCGTGTCCCACTGGATCCATTTGTCCTTGTCACTTGGAGAAAGGCCAGTCCCTGTGACGGGGCAGCCCTCTCTGTTCCTTGGTCAGCTCCTGTGATTCCTGGGACCTCTTCCGATCGGCCCTGCCCGCTGTTCTGGGGTCGACTGCCACGACTTTTGATTCAAGAAGCTTCCTCCAGGCGGGAGCGGCTATTTTTCCTAAATGAGAATTGTTACATTGCAAATTGTTGAATAAAATATTTTGCGCTCCTTCAAGCACCTTCACTTGTGGTTCCCTTTGGTTTGTTGGAAGCGAGTGAGTGCAGGTGTCCGCAGGCCTCGGCACTCGCCTGGCCCGCGCCCAGGTCCTCTCCGGGGACTTGCACCTGCCCTCGCTGGGACCTGCCGGGCTGCCGGGCTGCGGGGCTGCCGGGCGGGGAGGGGCGTGGGAGAGCCGACCTGGCCCGGTGCGGCGCAGTCCTCCGGCCGCCAGGGGCCGCTGCGGGCGGGGCCGGGGCGCGGGGCGGGGACCGGGCGCGGCCCCGCGGCGGCCGTTGCTGGGTCCCGGCCCGGCTGACTCCGCCTCTGGGCGGCCGGGCCTCCGCGAGTACGGGGTCGGCTTCGGAGTCTGCGGGGCCAGCCCGGGGTGCCCGGTTCCTGCCCCTCTCCCCGAGCGGCGCCCCAGCCGGGGTCGAGCCTCGCCCGCGACAGGCCCTGCCTGCGGACCGCCCTGGGGACGGCGTCTGGGAGCCCCGAGGGGCTGGCGGGACCCGGGGCCCGGGCCATGCGGCAGCCGCCCCTGCCCCTCCGCGACCACCCCCGGCCCAAGCGGGAGCCGCAGCGCAGTTTCTGCTCCTCGCTGCGCCGGCGACCCCGGACCCGGCACCCCTGACCCCTCGCCCCGCCTGCGGCCCCGCGCCGAGGCCTCCCCTGGGAGGGCCCGTCCATGCCGTCCAAGGCGGAGAGCCTGCGGCCTTCGGAGCCGGCCCCGCAGCCGCCCGAAGGGAGGACGCTCCAAGGACAGCTTCCCGGCGCTCCGCTGGCCCCGCGCGCAGGGTCCCCACCCGATGCTCCGGGCTCCGAGAGCCCGGCGCTTGCCTGCAGCACCCCGGCCACGCCCAGCGGCGAGGACCCGCCAGCCCGGGCAGCACCCGTCACCCCGCGGCCCCCCGCCAGGCCTCGGCTGGAGCGAGCCCTGTCCCTGGACGACAAGGGCTGGAGGAGGAGGCGTTTTCGAGGCAGCCAGGAAGACCTGGAAGCCCGGAATGGGACCAGTCCCTCCAGGGGCTCAGTGCAGAGCGAGGGTCCCGGGGCCCCCGCCCACAGCTGCTCCCCGCCCTGCCTGAGCACCTCCTTGCAGGAAATCCCCAAGTCCCGCGGGGTCCTGGGCAGTGAGAGAGGGAGCCCGTCCTCGGGGGGTAACCCTCTCTCTGGGGTGGCCAGCAGCTCCCCGAACCTGCTGCACAGAAACGCCGCCGTGGCAGGGAGCTCTCCCAGGCTGCCCAGCCTGCTGCCCCCCCGCCCGCCGCCTGCCCTGAGCCTGGACATCGCCTCCGACTCCCTGAGGACAGCAAACAAGGTCGACTCGGATCTTGCAGACTACAAGCTCCGCGCGCAGCCGCTCCTGGTGCGGGCCCACAGCAGCCTGGGCCCCGGCCGGCCCCGGAGCCCCCTGGCCTGCGACGACTGTTCCCTTCGATCGGCCAAATCCTCCTTCAGCCTCCTGGCGCCCATCCGCAGCAAGGACGTCCGCAGCAGGTAGGGCCTGGTGGGTGCAGCCCCTGTGCCGCCTTCATTGTAGTGTTCAGGCTGCTGGAACCTCGTGAGACCGTTCCCATCAGCAGCGTTTAGGATGCCTAAACAGAAAGAATGAAGCGGGTCTCCCGCAGCCACCCCATCTCCCAGCCCCTCCCCACAGCAGCGCCCTTCCCATCTCTCCCCAACTTCCCAGAACTTTTCCTGTGTGTTTCAGAACCATTCGTGGGCGTGACGTTGTGTTAAGGTAGACAAGATGGCATCTTGCATACAATTATGTATCTGGCGCTATTTCTTGTTTAGTCTTGAGAAATTTCCTCAATGTATATGATCTGCCCTTTTGGTTGTTTTTGTTTGTTTCTCTGTGGCCCAGGCTGGAGTGCAGTGGCGCAATCCCGGCTCACTGTAACCTCCACCTCCTGGGTTCAAGGGCTCCTCCTGCCTCAGCCTCCTAAGCGTCTGGGATTACAGGCACCTGCCACCACACTCGCTAAATTTTGTATTTTCAGTAGAGACAGGGTTTCCCCATGTTGGCCAGGCTGGTCTCGAACTCCTGGCCTCAGCCTCCCAAAGCGCTGGGATTCCAGGCGTGGGCCACTGCGCCCAGCCTGCCCCCTTAGTTTTTTTCTGCCGCAAGAGGCCCCAGATGTGTTGAGGCTACTTTGTTTAGCCACTTTCTCACGAGGAACATTTTGGTGGCTCGAGCTGTTGCTGGAAGGAACGGCACTGAACCCATGGGCTCTCTCCCAAGCCTGGTCTGGTCTTGGGGTCGCCATCTGGGGGCCTGTCCTCAGATGCTCCCACTGTGACTTGGCAAAACCACCCGCACCCTTCTTTTCCTCCCCTCCCCACTGCCATGGTGCCCAAGTCTTGTCTGTCAGCCACGGCGGGAGGCAGGGCAGGTGTGAGAAGGGAGTGGTGTGAGGTGGTTTCTGTGTGGTGTCCTGGGGCCGCTGTAACTCATGGCCACGGACTGGGAGGCTTGAAACAGCAGAGCTGGACTCTGTCCCAGTTCTAGAGGCCAGAAGTCTAAAATCAAGGTGTGGCCAGGCAGCCTCTCTCCAGAGGCTGGGGGGAGGATCCTCCTGCTGCCTCCCGCTCCTGGGGCCCCAGTTGTTCCTTGGCTTGTGGCACACTCCGGTCTCTGCCTCTGTCTTTATGTGGCCTCTTCCCTGTCTCTCTGTCTCTCTCTCGTCCTCTTCCCCATCTCTCTGTGTTCCCCTCTCTTTTTGTAAGGACACCAGTCATTGAATTTACTGCCCACCCTAAATCCAGAGTGATCTCATCTCAAGATCCTTAATTAAGTACATCTGCAGGCCGGGCGCGGTGGCTCACGCCTGTAATCCCAGCACTCTAGGAGGCCAAGGTGGGCGCGAGGTCAGGAGATCGAGACCATCCTGGCTAACACGGTGAAACCCCATCTCTACTAAAAATATGAAAAATTGGCCGGGCGCGGTGGCTCAAGCCTGTAATCCCAGCACTTTGGGAGGCCGAGACGGGCGGATCACGAGGTCAGGAGATCGAGACCATCCTGGCTAACACAGTGAAACCCCATCTCTACTAAAAATACAAAAACTTAGCCGGGCGAGGTGGCAGGCGCCTGTAGTCCCAGCTACTCGGGAGGCTGAGGCAGGAGAATGGCGTGAACCCGGGAGGCGGAGCTTGCAGTGAGCTGAGATCCGGCCACTGCACTCCAGCCTGGGTGACAGAGCGAGACTCCGTCTCAAAAAAAAAAAAAAAAAAAATACGAAAAATTAGCCGGGCGTGGTGGCAGGCGCCTGTAATCCCAGCTACTCGGGAGGCTGAGGCAGGAGAATGGCTTGAACCCGGGAGACGGAGGTTGCAGTGAGCCGAGATCGCGCCACTGCACCCCAGCCTGGGCGATAGAGCGAGACTCCGTCTCACAAAAAAAAAAAAAAAAAGTACATCTGCAAAGACCCTGTTTCCAAATAGGGCCCCATTCCAAGGTTCTGGAGGTCTGGGGGTCGACATGGCTTTGGGGATCACTGTTCAGCTCACCACAGTCCCCGAAGGTAGCCTCACTTCCCTGCGCCTGTGGTCCACCAGCAGGCAGGTCGGCTTAGGCATGGAGTGAGGGCCTGTGCCTGGCTCCCCCACCATACTCCCCTCCTGTGCGTGGATGGGGCAGGTGCAGTCACATACAGGGCAAAACTGTTGCTTTTGTTAAAATAATTCACTGCAGGGTTTCTTGTAAAGGGTAAAATTTCTTCGTGCGTCTAAAGCATCACATTTTAAAATCAGATTCAGTTTACGTAGATACACCTGTTAGAATGGCAGTCGTGTCTCAAATTTGGATCAGGTCATTGTTTTCGAACAACCAGGAAACGAGGGTTGATGTGGATCCTTTAACTCAGTTCTGCTGTCTAAAAACTTCCCATTTCCAGATCTCCGGTCTGTTCTAGAATAGGAGTCGGCACACGCTTTCTGTCAAGGGTGAGGCACGGACAGTGGGGACCAAAGGGCGTCTGTGTGCCGGTGAATCTATTAGGGACGCACATTGGAACCTCGCTGTTTTTTCTTTCTCTGCCGTTCCACACAGTAAAACCCATTCTGAGCTTGTGGGCCGCACGTGCACGAGCTGGTCCGCCCTGTTTCAGAATGGCTGCTGGCCTTTGCCAGTGCCTTGGGGCTGCCAGGGCGGGTTAGGGGGATGCTCTCCCCACCAGTTCCTTTTGCTCTGAGAGCCGGCCCAGGCTGCAGCAGCCGGCCTGTGCATCCTCACGCAGAAGCTCTGCAGTGTCCTGGCCCTGGATGGGGGTCCGAGGCAGCTCTGCCCCTGCCCGTGTCGGGACACAGGAATGATGACTGTGAGGGCTGCCCCTGGCCTGCTGTTACTAACCGTGCTCTGGACAGAGCTGGGCAGACCGGCCACGCGGCTGCTGGTGTGGACATGATGGGCGTTGCCGGCAAAGGCGCCATGGGCCTCGAGTCTGGTGACCGAGGAGCCCCTGCTGGGCCCGGGATCACTTGACAGCAGTGGCCACAGCAACACTCTCTGTCCCGAATGACCGCTGCGTGAACACAGTTGTCCTGACTGGAACTGTCAACAGTTTTAGGGGTGAGGTAGCGAGGTTCCTCCCTGTGACATGATTTAATCGTGTCCAGTGAAGCTTGGGGAGCTGCAGCCAGGATTGAGGAAGTTCTCACGGGAGGTCACAAGAATCCGGCACTGTGCTCTCGTCTCCCTTTGTGAAAGGGAACCTCGTCAGAAGACGGCGTATCTAGAAGGAGCAGCACAAGTGTTACTTAGAGAAGGAGTGGGGAGGAGGGCTGGCAAGCCTAGCCCACGGCCTTTCTGTGTAGTCAGCGAGCTGAGAACGCGTTTTACATTTCCACATGGTTGGGAAAAGGTCAAAACAATTCTAATACTGTTTCACACTACAAGAAAGTTGTAAACTTCACATTTCAGTGTCTGTAAATCAAGCATCTCAGGCACACGGCCGGCTCCGTGTGTCCACATCCCCTGGTGGCTTCTGCACCACTGGGTGGCCCACGGAGCAGTGGGCGTGTGCTGTTGCCTCTTGACAGGTTACCAGCCCTCGTGGCAGAAGGTGCTGAGTGTGGGGAGGGGCAGGGCGTCGCTGTGCCACACGGTGTGTTTAACCATTTGTGTGCACTGCCATATTAAAATCCGAAAGTGCCAGCCTGGACAATGTGGCGAGACCCTGTTTCTACAAAAATAAAAAATGAAAAACTGGCCGGGCGTGGTGGCACTGCACCGGGAGTTCCAGCTACTCGGGGGGCTGAGGCAGAAGGATCACTTGAGCCCTGGAGGTGGAGGCTGCAGGGAGCTGTGTTGGTGCCACTGCACTCCATCCTGGGCACAGACTGAGACCCTGTCCCCACCAGAAACCAAAACAAGCAAACCCAAAAGTGCATCAAAGCCACGAGTGTCGAGGAGATTAACGCGTTTCCATATGGCTCGCCTGGTCTCCCTGTCTTAGGCCATCCTGCCTGGTGTTGGGGCCCAGGGAGAAAGGAGGAGAACCAGCCCCTGCCTGAACAGCGCCCTGTGCCCACAGCCGTGGCTTATAGTTTGGGAGCTCCTCTCTGTGGTTCTCCCAGGACCCCACCACCAAAAAGCCCCAGATGTCACCCTCTCCTGCCTCTTCCCGGGAGGTGGGGGGGTGTGAGCCCGCTCTGGATGTTTGTGTGGCCAGGTCGGGCCTTGTTTTCCTGCAGAGCAGACAGCAGCACCGCAGCGTCCAGCAGAGCCCTTGCTCGGGGTCGGGGGCAGCTTCTGACATTCTGTGGGTTTTGCTGTTGTCCCTGGGGACCTGGCCGAGACACCCCCAGGGATGTGTCCTGTTCCTGGCCCTGAGCTTGGGGTCCTCCCGTCACAGGAGTTACCTGGAGGGCAGCCTCCTGGCCAGCGGGGCCCTGCTGGGGGCAGACGAGCTGGCCCGCTACTTCCCAGACCGGTACGTGGCGCTCTTCGTGGCCACCTGGAACATGCAGGGCCAGAAGGTGAGTGGCGCTGGGTGGCACTGGGCAGGGAAGGGCGGGGCGGGGCGGTGCTGGACAGACGTGGGTGAGGGAGACGGGGTAGTTCTGTGCCTCGTCCCGGGGCCGGGAGGGCAGAGCCCCGAGGTGCATCCACTGCGAGCCGCGGCACAGGAGGGTGAGAGTGGGTAAGGACCCCCGTCCTCCCGAGCTCCCACCTGCACCTCCATGGCCGTGTGGCCGCAGAACGGAGGGGAAGGGATTGGGTCACCAGGCCTGGCTGAGAATCGTCTGCTCAAGGTGAGCGGGAGGGCGGCCAGCAGAGCCCCTGTGGGGCGGCTCAGGGGCAGGTTGGGCCCCACAGGCTGGGGTCACAGTGACGGGGGTCACACAGGGGTGGTTGTTGGATAGACTCGTGTTTGGAGAGGGAAACTGAGGCCGAGGGCCAACCTGAGGTGTGTTTGGTGTGTCAGAGGCTGCCTTGGAGACCGACCGGGTAGATCCCTTCTTGGCCGTGGCCTCAGTTTCCCTCATTCAGAGGAGTTGCTGGCACTCGAGGTGCTGCAGTGGGACTCGCCCACAGGCGCCTGCAGGTTTCGGGAGGAGCTGGCCCACCACGTGCTCCCTCCTCCCAGGAGCTCCCGCCCAGCCTGGACGAGTTCCTGCTCCCAGCCGAGGCCGACTATGCCCAGGACCTGTACGTCATCGGCGTCCAGGAGGGCTGCTCTGACAGGTAGGGCGGCCGCAGGCCCTGCAGTGCCTGCCCTGGGGCTGCTGTGTCTGAAGCTGCTGGGCGTTGAGACCTGGGTTGCGGCTGGGCACGGGTGGGCGTTGAGACCTGGGTTGCGGCTGGGCACGGGTGGGCGTTGAGACCTGGGTTGCGGCTGGGCACGGGTGGGCGTTGAGACCTGGGTTGCGGCTGGGCACAGGCAGCCTCCACGCCTGGGTGGGATACATGAGTCGGTTTCTTTTCTGGTGGCAACTTGGAGAGTTTAAAATCAATGAGATTGGATTTTGGTAACAAATTGTTGACGTGAGAGAGTAGAAGGGCAGCAGGGAGCACGGCCGGGCTCCGAGGCTTCCTGGGGCCCCCACGTTGTGGTGGGAACAGCAGGTGGCTGCCGCCCACACAGGTGCTCTGGGAGAAGGAGCCCTGGCCCCAAGCTGAGGTGGGCCCCACTCCCCTGGCCCATGAGCCATGCAGGCAGGAGGAGCTCTGCTCACTGGGGTCTCGGCAGGGATCCAGGGGAGCCACTCAAGTGGAACTGGGGCCTGTGACCCCCGGCAGGTCCCAACTCTGGCCCACAACGGCCTCTGGCAAATGCGTCTCCATGCAGGACTCCGAGGCCAGGTCGTGGGGTTTCCCTGGTAGCTCCTCGAGGGGCTCTGGGTGGCAGGTCTGGGAGTGGTGGAGCTGGGAGGCCATGTCCCCCAGCCGGCCGCGCTTCCTTCTCTGCAGGCGGGAGTGGGAGACGCGTCTGCAGGAGACGCTGGGCCCGCACTACGTGCTGCTGTCCTCGGCGGCCCACGGCGTGCTCTACATGTCGCTCTTTATCCGCCGGGACCTCATCTGGTTCTGCTCAGGTGGGTGCGGCTGGAGGGGTGGGCGCGGCTGGAGGGTGGCAGCCCCCCTTTCCACGACTGACCCGTGGCCTTGGCAGGACAGGCACGCTTTGCGTCTGGGATCTGGGGGTTGCTATGTCACACACGGGCTCCACAGTGAGCCCTCACTGGCATGCGGGTCCGGCCACGACCCCCGGCCTGCAGCGTCCCGCAGGTGAGCTGAGGGCTGCCCCTCCCACAGAGGTGGAGTGCTCCACGGTGACCACACGCATCGTGTCTCAGATCAAGACCAAGGGGGCCTTGGGCGTCAGCTTCACCTTTTTTGGCACCTCCTTCCTCTTCATCACGTCCCACTTCACCTGTAAGTCGCTCGGTGCCCGTGCCGCAGGTGCTGCGTGAGAACAGCCTTCCTCTCCTGACCAGGACCCTGCCCAGGGCAGGGATCCTGGCTGCTGGCTTCATCTTCCACCCAGGGCCGTGGGGCGGGCACCATGCTTGCTAAGATGCACGCTGAGGACCCCCAGCAGACCCCGGCACTGAGGGCATGCCGTGCTGGGCCCGCGCTCCGTCCTCCGAGGCAGAAATGTCCCTGGCCAGGCCTGGCAGCGGATGCCCGGTGGGGTTGCATCTGCAGGGGGCGCGCAGTCAGGGCATGGTCCAGGGGGCGGCTCTTGAGGGAGACCCAGAACCCTGTGACCCCTACCCCATTTCTGTTCCCACAGCGGGCGACGGGAAGGTGGCGGAGCGGCTGCTGGACTACACCAGGACCGTGCAAGCCCTGGCCCTGCCCAGAAACGTGCCCGACACCAACCCCTATCGCTCCAGCGCAGGTGAGGGCCCCCACACTGCATGCGGGTGGTGCTGCCGTGGTTCACACGCGGGGCGCCCGTCGTTTTTACGGCAGCTCTGCAGAGGCAGCGTCCTGAGCTCTGGGAAGCAAGGGCCGAAAAGTCCAAGTGCCCCCAGCGCATAGCCCCTCATGGTTCTTTAGCACGGTTAGTGGGGTGGGCGGATCCCGTCCACTCACAGCGTGTCCTGCTAGCCTGGGTCCTGGTCCTCACCACTGCCCGCCCTGCCGCCTCCCCCGGCTGTGTGGAAAGGAGCAGAGACATGGTCATCCCCTGCCATGGGCGCCGTCTGCTCCTGAGGCTGCTCCAGGTGCCTTCTGGAGCTGTCCCAATGCGAATCGGGGCCCAGCTCCTCTGGCTGGCACCCGAGACCCACTTCCCCTGGGAGCCACTGCCAGGCCGTGTTCTGGGGAAGGGGAAGGACCTGCCGTTGCTTGCCTGTGCCCATGCATGGCCCACTGTGCCACAGCGGACGTCACCACCCGCTTCGATGAGGTGTTCTGGTTTGGAGACTTCAACTTCCGCCTGAGCGGCGGGCGCACGGCCGTGGACACCCTCCTGTGCCAGGGCCTGGTGGTGGACGTGCCGGCGCTGCTGCAGCATGACCAGCTCATCCGGGAGATGCGGAAAGGTGAGGGCCTGGGAGGGGGGCGGGCGTGGCGGGAGATGCGGAAAGGTGAGGGCCTGGGGTGCCGCGGCTGGCACGAGCTGGTCTGAGCCGGTCCGGGTGCCCATCCTGTGGCAGGGTCCATCTTCAAGGGCTTCCAGGAGCCGGACATTCACTTCCTCCCGTCATACAAGTTTGACATCGGGAAGGACACGTACGACAGCACCTCCAAGCAGAGGACACCCTCATACACGGTGAGCCCCGCCCATGGCCGGCGCAGAGTGCTTCCAGGGCGGGCACCTCCCACAGCCGGGAGCCAATGCCTGGCATCAGGGGTCTGAACCTGGACGGCCTTGACTTGAACTTCAACTCTACACCCTGGCCTCGTGGCGAGTCCCCTTTGGTGGAGAACGGCACCCTCTCCATGGGTGTTTTCAAGGCTGGGTGAGCCGACTGGCACACAGGGCACCGGCCATGCCCTCGCCCCTGGCGTGCAGAGCCTCTGCCCGTTGCACCCTCACTCACCCTTCCGCCAGGCCCATGGCTGCAGCTCTGGGCACGTCCCGATGTCTGCTGGATGCCTCAAGAAGCCACTGAGGCAGGGCAGGGTAGGAGCAGCCGCTGTTCACAGGGTCTCCAGCGGCGAGGGACAGGCCCTGGCCCAGCTGGCCACAGACACCGGGCAACAAAACGGGCATAAGTGTCGGGGGTCCCAGAAGGCTCCCTCGGGGGGCACTTGAGAACAGCGGGGAGGTGAGTGGGCCACGCCCCACAGCGCCTCAGGAGTAACTGGACTTCCTCCCTCCGGAATCTTCCCGAAGGACCGCGTCTTGTACAGAAGCCGCCACAAGGGTGACATCTGTCCCGTGAGCTACTCCTCCTGCCCCGGGATCAAGACCTCCGACCACCGCCCTGTGTACGGCCTCTTCCGGGTGAAAGTGAGGCCGGGGCGAGACAAGTCAGTGTTCTCCCGCGCTCCTTCCCTCTCGGGCCCGGGGGTTGGGCCGTCGTCCCATGAGCTGAGAGGGTCCCTGTCATCGTGGGGTTCCACTTGGGGCTTTGTCCTGGGACCTTCAGGGCTGTGCACCCCCAGGATCGGTTGGACTCATCCTGGAGCAGGAAGAAGGCAGGAAGGGGAGAGGCTCTGAACAGTGAAGAGGCCCAGCTGGGGGGCTGGGTGTGGCCAGCTGGGGGGAGGAAGGCGTTAAGCACTCAGGTGTCCGCCCATCCTTCCTGTGGCTCTCCCAGGAACAGGCCTCTGTGTGCTTAGAGGCAGTGCCAGCCCGGGCCGGCGCCCGCCTAACACCCCTCCTCCGGGCCAGCGCCCACCTAACACCCCTCCTCCGGGCCAGCGCCCACCTAACACCCCTCCTCCGGGCCAGCGCCCACCTAACACCCCTCCTCCGGGCCAGCGCCCACCTAACACCCCTCCTCCGGGCCAGCGCCCACCTAACGCCCCTCCTCGTGGCCCTGGGCGTCCTCCTAACACCCCTCCTCCGGGCCCGGCGCCCACCTAACGCCCCTCCTCGTGGCCCTGGGCGCCCACCTAACGCCCCTCCTCCGGGCGCGGCGCCCACCTAACGCCCCTCCTCGTGGCCCTGGGCGTCCTCCTAACGCCCCTCCTCCGGGCCGGCGCCCACCTAACGCCCCCTCCTCCGGGCCCGGCCCCCACCTAACGCCCCCTCCTCGGGCCCGACCCCTTCCTAACGCCCCCTCCTCGGGCCCGACCCCTTCCTAACGCCCCCTCCTCCGGGCCCGGCCCCTTCCTAACGCCCCCTCCTCGGGCCCGACCCCTTCCTGACGCCCCCTCCTCCTGGCCCGGCCCCCTCCTGACGCCCCCTCCTCCGGGCCCGGCCCCCACCTGACGCCCCCTCCTCCGGGCCCGGCCCCCACCTGACGCCCCCTCCCCTGGGCCCGGCCCCTCCTAACGCCCCCTCTTCCGGGCCCAGCCCCCTCCTGACGCCCCCTCCTCCTGGCCTGGTCCCCTCCTGACGCCCCCTCCTCCGGGCCTGGCCCCCACCTAACGCCCCCTCCTCCGGGCGCGGCCCCCTCCTAATGCCCCCTCTTCTGGGCCTGGCCTCCTCCTAATGCCCCCTCCTCCTCCACAGCATTCCATTGGCAGCTGGCAAATTTGATAGAGAGCTATACTTACTAGGAATTAAAAGACGGATTTCGAAGGAGATTCAGAGGCAGCAAGCACTACAGAGTCAGAACTCCAGCACCATCTGTTCCGTTTCTTGAAGTTTGCTGAGCGAGGACCCACAGCCGCAACATGGGGTGATTGTATTTGATCAAAACCCAGCGGGAAGGACGAAGAGTTTGCCGCCTTTTGCGGATCTGAGGGACTGTGGCGCCCGTGCCACTGTGCCAGCGTCCCAAGAAGGAAACCATCCCTAAGTGAGCCTGTCCTTCTCCATGGCAGGTCCACACGGCATGGGTGGGCAGGGCGTGGACCCGCCGCAGTACCACAGACCCCAGCCACTCTCGGGGGCAGACGTCAGAATCCGGTCCTGAGCAGCTCCCGTGCCCTGGGGGCAGTCACAGAGCCCCCCCACCCCCACCCCATCCCCGCGTGCTCTGCGCCAGCCTCTCCTTCCACACCCAGAGCAGGCGTCCATCTGTGTCCTCCTGGCAGCCCCTCAAACACACACCACCCCATGTCACACAGGTGTCCAGAGCCAGGCTGGACCTGGGCTAGGTGACCCCTGGGGCCTCAGACCTCTCAGTGGGCCCCAGAGCCCAGCTGAGGAAGCCACATGGCCTCCAGGACGTGGCGCGGTTCCCCTCCGCGAGGCTGCAGGTCGCCTGCCGTGGCGCAGAGGCCCGCACCCCAGCATAAGGGCCTCCCCGGCTGAGTGAGAAGCCACCTCCCCTCTCCTCTCATCAGCCAAGCCTGTTGGCATGAAACCATCTCATGGTTTCAGTGACGTAGACCGTTTGCTTCTGTAACTCCAGCCACAGAATGACAGTGGAGCCTGGCTGGGGAACTGCTGGAAGCTTAGGATGCCACCACCTTGAACACCTAGGCCAGGGATCCCCACCATGTCCCGGGTTTCTTTCTTCGAGAGTTTAGAACCGTTCATTCTTGCTTTGTGTCCCATTCCATCTCTTGAAAAAATGTAGTCTTTGAATGTGTGAAAATCTAGGGACATTCAATCTAGTCTTTTAAATTATTTATTTTTCCATATTTATATTTTTAAATAAATGCATATATTGAGTCTTAAACTCTCTTTCTGGCCAAAGACTGAAACCTGGAAGAAACAATATACATGCATACCCTGTTCTCACAATGTCCTTGTTTTAAAGGCTGTAAAATCCACAGGCAAAAAGTTTGGTCTCAACCCTTAACTGCTGACTGTGATCTTGTCCAGCTCATCTCTGCTGTCTTTAAAATCCTACATTCGGCTGGGTGCGGTGGCTCACTTCTATAATCCTAGCACTTTGGGAGGCTGAGGCGGGTGGATCACCTGAGTGCTGGGCAGATCACAAGGTCAGGAGTTCGAGACCAGCCTGGCCAACATGGTGAGACGCCGCCGCCCCCCCCCCAACCCCATCTCTACTAAAATTATAAAAATGAGCCGGGCATGGTGGCGGGTGCCTGTAATCCCAGCTACTCGGGAGGCTGAGGCAGGAGAATCGCTTGAACCCAGGAGACAGAGGTTGCAGTGAGCTGAGATTGCACCACTGCACTCCAGCCTGGGCAGCAGAGCAAGACTCCCTCTCAAAATACATAAATAAATAAATAAAATCTTGCATTCCTAGTTCACTGCCCCAGAGATCAGCGTTAGTTGGAAAAGAGTTTGAGGAAGACACAAATACTTCAGACCTGATGAACCCTGCTGGTTATCAACAATTCCAGTGAATAATACATAAAACTTTTATTAGCAGCAGCTTAAAAAGTGGGGAAACAAACACCCAGTCTCTTGATAAAAATGAGTCTCTTGGGCCGGGTGCGGTGGCTCATGCTTGTAATCCCGGCACTTGGGGAGGTCCCGGTGGGCAGATCACAAGGTCAGGGGTTCGAGACCAACCAGGCCAAATGGTGAGACCCCCCACCGTCTCTACTAAAAATACAAAAATTAGCCGGGCGCCTGTAGTCCCAGCTACCCAGGAGGCTGAGGCAGGAGAATTGCTTGAACCCGGGAGGCGGAGGTTGTAGTGAGCCAAGATCGCACCACTGCACTCCAGCCCGGGTGACAGAGTGAGACTCATCTCCAAAAACAAATAAAAGGTTTTGCCCAAACAAATGTGCCCTAAGTTTCAAATCAATTCATTGAAAATCTGGGGCGGGCGCGGTGGCTCACGCCTGTAATCCCAGCACTTTGGGAGGCCGAGGCGGGCGGGTCACAAGGTGAGGAGATCGAGACCATGGTGAAACCGTCTCTACTAAAAATACAAAAAATTAGCCGGGCACCGTGGCGGGCGCCTGTAGTCTCAGCTACTCAGGAGGCTGAGGCAGGAGAATGGCGTGAACCCGGGAGGTGGAGCTTGTAGTGAGCCAAGATCACGCCACTGCACTCCAGCCTGGGCGACAGAGCGAGACTGTCTCAAAAAAAAAAAAAAAAAAAGGAAAATTTGTACCAAGATGTTTTAGGACAATGGGGCTTAAAATGAGTCAGCTTTTATGGCTTGTTCCTAGGCCTTTTCTCCGACCCAAACAGTTGTTAAAGAGATTCTGATCCGCCCCTGGAGTGTGTCCTGTGGCTTGAGAGTAAGAGGCTCCAAGTCTTTTGGCGGGGAGTGGCGGGGCGTGATGTGTCTAGTACGATCACAGATCAAAAGCCAGGTGATGCCCTTGGCACTCACCACTAGTTTTAGATGAATGGAATTTCACTCAGGAGTTTACACTAATGCAAATGATGTTGGCCAATCTCTGGAAAATAAAAGAATTGTTAAATACGGCCAGGCACAGTGGCTCACATCTACAATCCCAGCACTTTGGGAAGCTGAGGCAGGAGGATTGCTTGAAGCCAGGAGTTAAGAGACCAGCCTGGGCAACCTAGTGAGACCCCACCTCTAAAATAAGAATTAGCCCACATGTTGGTGCGCGCCTACAGTCCCAGCTATTCAGGAGGCTGAGGTGGGAGGATCAACTGAGACCTGGTGGTCAAGGCTGATGAGCAGTGGTTACATCACTGTACTCCCGGGCCAGCCTCATCTCAAAAAAAAAAAAAAAAAAAAAAAAAAAGGGCTCGATAGTAGCGGGTTCTTAGAGCTTCACATTAGTGGTAACTTTGGTATACAATCCTCCACTGCTAAATTTGGCAAAAGCAAAACAAATGTGGCCAGGTGCGGTGGCTCATGCCTATAATCTCAGCACTTTGGGAGGCCCAGGTGGGTGGATCACCTGAAGCCTAGGCGGCTGGTCAGGAGTTCACCACCAGCCTGATCAAAATGGTGAAACCCCGTCTCTACTAAAAATACAAAAAATTAGCCGGGTGTGGCAGTGGGCGCCTGTAATCCCAGCTACTTGGGAGGCCGAGGCAGGAGAATCCCTTGAACCCATGAGGCAGACGTAGCGTGAGCCGAGGTCGTGCCATTGCACTCCAGCCTGGGCAACAAGAATGAAACTCCATCTCAAAAAAAAAAAAAAATTGTGAAATACGCCTGAGGGTGGTTTCAAAAATTCAGCTCTCGGGGCCAGACACAGAGGCTCACGCCTGTAATCCCAGCACCTGGGGAAGCCGAGGCAGGTGGATCATCTGAAGTTGGGAGTTGGAGACCAACCTGGCCAACATGGTGAAACCCCGTCTCTACTAAAAATGCAAAACTTAGCCAGGTGTGGTGGCGGTCGCCTATAATCCCAGCTACTCGGGAGGCTGAGGCAGGAGAATGGCGTGAATCCAGGAGGTGGAGCTTGCAATGAGCCGAGATCACGCCACTGCACTCCAGCCTGGGCCATAGAGGAAGACTCTGTCTCAAAAAAAAAAAAAAATTCAGCTCTCGTTCTCTCAAGCATGCTTTGCTTGTCTGTCGTTCAGCAAGTGTTTTCATAGCCCTGCTCCAGGACAGAGGTTCTAGCCACCAGCAGCGATACTGGAATGAACCAAATGGCCTGCTTGGGGAAGGTGACCATCTTAAAAAAGCAGCAAGTGCACCTTAGTTCCAAAGAAAAAGGGACGTGGGGCCGGGCGCGGTGGCTCCCGCCTGTCATCCCAGCACTTTGGGAGGCCAAGGTGGGCGGATCACCTGAGGTCGGGAGTTGGAGACCAGCCTGACCAACACGGTGAAACCCGCGTCTACTAAGAATACAAAATTAGCCAGCGTGGTGGCGCACGCCTGTAATCCCAGCTACTCGGGAGGCTGAGGCAGGAGAATTGCTTGAACCTGGGAGGCGGAGGTTGCGACGAGCCAAGATCACGCCACTGCACTCCAGCCTGGGCAACAAGCATGAAACTCCATCTCAGAAAAATAAAGAAAAGAAAAAGCGAGGCGAGGAGGAGTGTGGCAGGGAAGGCAGGCGTGTGACCTGCGGTTAGAGTGGAGGCAGCGAGGGAGAGCCAGCTGGGTGTGGCAGGGAACGGAGAGAACCTGTGTTGGCCTTGGCTTCCAAAGCACAGACCCTGAGGGCTAATTGGTAGCAGTTTCTAGAATGTCCTCCGGCTTCTCGGTAGTTGGAGCAGGACTGTGCTTCACTGGCATCTTCAGCAGCTCAACCCCAGGCCTGACGCCTGTGGTGTGGGAGCTCTGCGTTCACCGTGCAGCTGGGCATCAGGGGCTGTGTGCCGTCCCAGGTGTGGTAACAACAGGATGTTTCTAACGGAAGTCCACTGTTAAAACAGACACCGTCGTCCTCCCGCTCCGGTCCTCCAATCCCACCAGATGGGCAGCAAGCTGAGCTTCCCATGTGGGCAAATTCAAGCAGGCACCGTCGCTGGAGTGTGTGTTGTAAAGGCACAAGGTCTTACGGAAACTACAATAGCCAGAGGACAGTCAGAGGCTCACAGGAGTAAAGCTTACAAGTTTAACTTCCTGAAAATATCCACTTTCTCTCCCGTCTACACCACAGAGGCTGAGCTTCTCAGCTACTCAGAAGACAGGACCAGAGACTGTTCTCTCCTCCTGACAAAACTGTGCCCCACAGCTCTGTGCAGGCCACTGAGTCACACGTGCAGGTAGCTGCCCTTGGACTACAGCAGCATCGGAGGTGGCCCGTGCAGGTTCCCAGGCCCGACCTCCCCACACCCCTTGGAGCTCCCAAGGTTTCTATGGGTGTTTGAGAACAACGTTACAAGTTTTAACTTGTACAAGTTTTTTGTTTTTGTTTTTGAGATGGAGTTTCGCTCGTCACCCAGGCTGCAGTGCAGTGGCGCGATCTCGGCTCCCTACAACCTCCGCCTCCCGGGTTCAAGCGATTCTCCTGCCTCAGCCTCCCGAGTAGCTGGGATTACAGGTGCCCGCCACCACACCAGGCTAATTTTGTATTTTCGGTAGAGATGGGGTTTCCCCATGTTGGTCAGGCTGGTCTCAAACTCCCGACCTCAGGTGATCCGCCCGCCTCGGCCTCCCAAAGTGCTGGGATTTAGAGGCGTGAGCCACCGCGCCCGGCCACTTGTACAAGTTTTTAGACCACATGAAAAGTTGCCCTGTGGTGGCTATTCCCTGAGCCATGCGACCTTTTGGATCTCTGAAAACAGCCACATCTGTGGCCGCTCCTCAGACTGGCGGCACTCCCTACCTCTAAGGCATCTGCAGGCTTTGCTGCCAGTCACCATCACCCGCCGTCACCCCGCCCCGTGCATGCTGCGACACCGTGAAATCAGCACGTCGCATGAGAACGGGCTTCAAGTCACTGGGTCAACCAGATAATTATCAGGGAGGAAGGCCTCCATGTTAGAAAAGCTGCCAATTCAGACAGCCCTTAAGAACCGCCCCTCCCCAGGCGAGAAGGAAAACACCGAGCTAAGATGCCAGCTGTTTATTACCAGGGAAGCCGCGTGCAAACGCATGGACCGCGCTCCTCAGAGCAGACTGGGCCCTCACCTTGTCCTGTTTGTCAGAGGTGAGTCCTGGTACCAACACAGGAGCACGGTGGCCTCCAGGGAGGCTCTGATAGGCTGGCCTCCGCTGCTTCCCGGCTCAGGGCTCCTCCAAGGAACCTGTGGAGCCCCGTGTGCCCAGAGCCCCCGAGGAGGGGGAGCACTGACCGGCCTCCTCACGGCACGCTGCACTCCAGCGCTGGGCGCTGCACCTGCTTGCTGGCTTGCGGCGGGTCAGGCACAACA